TGGACGCCGTTTGGCTTTTGGCCTGGCCCTCAGTACAGAACACTACCACGATGCCTTTGCTTCTTGGCATATTTTGAATACGGCTTCCAAAACAACACAAACCAACGTGTCACGTGCCACTTTCATTTTACAGGAGGGCCCCTAGAAATATTAGACACGCTTTGGAAGCCTTACTTTGCAGATTTGAGGCGATCGCATCATTAGGCAATCGTGGCTGTGACATGTTTCATAGTGTTTGATCAGCTTCGGTTCATGCTTTGCACTGTGACGCTTTGCACTGTGATTGTGATGCTTTGCACTGTGATGCTTTGCACTGTGATGATCCAATGCCGGACCGGTGCAGTTTGACGTGGAAGAAAATTGAGGGGTGGATTTGGTCCAAAGCAGGGGGTGTTCTCCTAGTTTGGAAACACTGGCCATTTCCGCTGAGTCTCACTTTCGAAGCCTCCGAATGGTTGTTCAGGAGGAGCGCAAAAGTCGCTTGTCTTTTGCTTAAAAGTCAATTGATCCCTCTACCTACCTTCCCCCCCAAAAAAAAACAATAAACAAGTGGGAGTGTCAAAAAAGCAACCAATCTGGTGTTTCAGGGAGCCTAGAAGTCTTGGTTTTGGCCAACAGCTCGTATGCTTTTTGAGGCGCAGACTCTGGTGGAGCATGCCGGCCAGCTGCCCAGACACTGTCCGCTTCCGGTCTAAGTGGTGTAGGGGTTGGGGCCAAAATCACTTTTCGCAGGCCAACGCAAGGTTTCACCCGAGTATCTAACATGGGTTTACGGAGTCGTCCACTTGTGACAGAAGCCAAAGGTTTTGGTCCGCGGGACGCGAGCGCGGTCACCCAGGTCGGGAACCACTGCGGCAGCTCTTGCCGGGCCTGTCCGACTCTTTGGGTCCCGAAATGGCCTGTGCCTCGGACGCCTCGACGAGTTTCATCTTGCGTCCGGTGAGGTCCATATGTGTCCCATGAAAGTTTTATATGGACAAAACCTCTCCAAAATCAAAATGGTGGCGCCTGCCTCTAATTTGGGTGTCTTGTTTCCAGGAAAGATCAGGATGCAGATTCAATTCCTCAGGCCTCAGGTCGCAGATCCCGTTGATTGGCCGGTTGCCAAAAGTCGACATGGCTATGATTTTGAATAATTGGAACGCCCTCAACAGCAGTCTCTCCATGTAAATGATGTCCACCACAGGGTCCTCCCACTTCAAAAATGGGACCATTTCCGGAGATCTAGTGATTAGCCACAAAAGGCAAATGGAGTTGCCAACCACTGGGAGTTGGACCTATCCTCATTTGAGTCTCTGACGATATGATTGGTCTACTGTGGGTTTGGGGAGGACATGGGTGGATCCAAAGTACACACAATGAGGGGAGCTGTCCAATGTTCCGATCTTTTTTCGCCACATTGCCTGCCAAGGCGGAGTCGCTTAGAAGCCTGGCCCCTGATGCCAGAAGCGACAGGCCTGCATTTGGCTCAGCTTATGTTGAGAGTTGATCCTTGCGAAAAGATATTGATTGAGAAATGGCCGTGTCCCAGTCTGCCAGTTGGCTGTTGTCCATGCTTCGCTTGGAGTCTTCAAGTATGAAAGAAGGCTTTGCCTTACCTGGTCAAACCTACAGCTTTACTTGTCATTGTGGACAGCCATCAACCTTTCAGTGCGGAACATGGGGCGCAGTTTTAGGAAGCAAAGGAGAAACAACCAGAACCCAGTTCAGGGGCCGTTGCCGGCAAGGCGAGGCGAGAGAGGCCACGTGCTTGACTTGCAGGCGAGTTTCAGGGGCTTGGCTCTTGATTTGGAGTAGGTACCCCTTGTTCGGGTGGTGGAAAGGTTGTGTTGCCAGGGTACATGTTTTAAGGCTTCCCGGCCACTGGCTCTACCGATTTGGGTAAAAAGGCTTCTGTGTGTGGGTGTGGCTGCTCTGTCTTTTTTTGGGGTGTAAAAGGGAGTAAGGGAGGGACCACTTCCATTTGGCGCGTTCCCTCATTTTAACACTCACACGCACTCCGCCCTTTGATTTTTTGGATTGCTTTGAGACCAAGTTCTTATCGTGACTCGGAAGGAGTGCTGAGAAGTGGATAGGATGGGTTGGTTTGAGTATGTGTGTGAATTGGCTTGTGTACGGAATTAGACTTCTGGCGACAAGCTTATCTATGGCAGTTTTGCATGTGCCGATGAGTAGTAATAAAGATAGTCACTGCTCTTGAGTGCTGGTTCCTCGTGTCTTTCCCTTCGACAAAGCAGCAAAAGTACAATTCTGCCTTGAAACGGCATTGACGAAATGAGACCCCGATCGATCATTTGGTGCTGCTGACACGATTCGATGCTCTGGAGTGGAAAGAGGTGGCGTTCATTTTGTGCAAGCAGATTCCTGCATGGAGTTATTTCCCACTGATGTTAACGACTTGCAACTTAAATCGGACAGTCGAGATCATCGCGAAGACATAAACAAGCACAGTGATGGCAGAGATCATAAAGTAGAGATCGATTCTGATATTTTGGTCAAAAAATAAAAATAAATGCAACAGTGATACACCGTTTCGGGGGCTGTTTTGTTCTTCTTCTTTTTTTCTTCTTCTCTTTTTTCCCGCCGTCCTTCGCATGCTTGGCCTTTGAAACGCGCGGTACATTGCGCTTTCAGGTGGACCAGAATGTGGTGGGTTGGCTGCTGGGCGGTCGCGGGAAGACGGTGCAGCAGATTGAGGACGGAACGTATCAACGTGCCATGTGTTTTTGAGAGCTGGTTAGTTTGTTGTTTGAGAGGTGATCCCTTTGGGGAGGGTTTAACGGAAGCCAATTACCTGTCATGTGCCGTGTTAGTGGGACGGAGGGTATTGGCGGATCTCACATCCCAACGCACGCTCAACAAACAGAAGCGTCGCCGTTCTTGCGTGGTGGCTACGAGTATAGGCCTATGGTGCTCCCCAACCAAGAATGAGGTCTTCATTTGTTCAAAGTCCAAGTAATTGAGAGATTCAGCCTCATTCTGAAGCGGAAACAAAGGCACACTCAACATCGCAAGGGCATTCAAGTAGGTTGCCTAGGTGGAAAACTCCCACACGGGTTTGTCTCCACATGGGTGGAGCCCCCCCCCCTTCGAATGCTCGATTGGGGTGATTTCTCGTTGGTTTCCCTTCAAGCGACCCTTTATAAAAGGTACAAACATACCGTGCTCTTTGCCTCTTTGTGGGGCTGCCTTGAAGGGAACCTGTTTGGGCCCCCCCAAAGGAGGTGGTTTTCCTTTTTTCCGTAAGAGGGAGGAAGGGTAGCTGCTGTCATCCGCTCTTTTGGTATCAATGACGGGCTGGCATTGGCGATTTGTGCACTCGCCGGCAATTTCCAGAGGCGCGGCGACACTTGCCGCCGGTGAAAGCTTCGGAGTTCAGCTTGAAGGTTACACGGTTCCATGCTTGGATTCTATTCTGGGAGGGTTGGGATGTTTTTCGGGGAAACCGAAGGGGCCACCAGGCCGAATTTGGAGGTTTCTGTTTGAACACGCAGCCATGTTTTGTTAGAGTCCGGTCGTGGAATCTGTCCAGCGAACCAGGAGGAGACGGGAGCCAAAATCGACATTGCTGCGGCCCTAATTAAGCGTGTCGCTGTACCGGAATCCGTTCATTTCGACCATCTGAGTGATTTAAAAAGTAAAACAAAACGGGTTTGCTTGGACCCACGGTGCAGCCCAAAGCTCCACATAACGCCTTGGTGAGAGCTGCCAGGATTTGCTTGGAGAAGACATGGGAGTATGATTCTTGAGGGTACCCTTTCAGGTTGGTTGAAGGAGAAACACAGGGGAAACCACCCAATTCGGGATTTTCCCGTAAAGGAGGTACCATACGCTTGCAGTCAGTTGCGAACGGCACCGAGGACCAGTCCACAAAGAGCGCTGGCTACAGTATTGCTGCTCGGTTCACGACAAAGTCTTCAGGGTGCTCACGACGTGGGATGGATCTGTGTGAGTCTTTCTTTTGGAACCCCCCTTTTGATCGAGCTTTGGGCTTCCCACAATCGTGAGACGGCCCCATTTAATCATTTAATCATTGAATGAGCGGAATTCACTCTGAAAGTGGCCAATAGGAGGGGCAACATATTGAGGCAAGGCGGCAAGTCGATTTTTTGCCTAAGGTTCACGTGTCCGGCTCAATGTCAGCCGTCATGGCCTCGGCAGTATGTCAGACCCGTGTCCCTTCGTCTCTGGCTTCAGCACGCGTTTGCTGCGGTGTCAGGTTGAAAAAGCAGAGAAAAGGATTCAGGCGACGGCACCCACGGCACTGTGGCACAGGATTGCTTGAATCAAAATGTTTGAAGTGATGGGCTGAGGAGTAAGCCTAGTATCAGTAGCAGGATGATGGAACGGGTCTGAAAGCAGGCTCATTTGCAAACTAAACAAATTAGGATCAAGTACAAGCCTGCAGCATGCATCCCGGCCAGTCTTCTCTTGCCATCATCACCAAAGAGAACCAAAAGGCCAGCGGCTAGCCGTGCATGCTGTTCTTCTGTCTTGATTCAGCTGGATGACTGTCCCACCAAAGCCAGGGAGACTCAGTTTCCTGTTGGTCTGTGTTGCAGTTGTTTGTTTCTTCTTTCATCTGGGGCGAGCGCGGGCCTACAAAATGGGCGCTGGCCCGGAAACTTGACCAGAGCAAAAGGCAGAGAGTGTGGGCATCATTTGCCTGGGGATCTATGCCCACCGATTTGTGAAGGTTTTTTCAGCCAAGAAACTTCTTATTCTCAGAGACGCCAGGATGGGGAGAGCATCGCCATGGAGGCGAGCTGCCTGGGGGTGGGGGTGGGACAGCTTGGCATGTAGAGATGTTCACACCACGCGGGATATAACCATCATTATGCCCAGGGGTAGGGTAGAGGGGCTGTCCAGGTAAAACCGTTCTAACCTAGTAAGCGGGTGGAACATCGAGGCAGGTCGGAAACAAGGGTTGATTGGGTCCAGTTGTTTTCCTTTACGAGCGGCGAAGTTCTACCATTGCGACGATCGGGTTTTAGCGACCCTTTGGTATTCATGGCCCAAAGAACCTGCCATGGGCTCCCTTCCCGCGAACGGACAGGTGGAACAACGATTGGTGGGATGGATCTTGGGCAAAGCTGGCACGGCCGAAACCTCAGGTACGGGAGGTTGTGACAGTTGCAGGCTCGGGCAAAAGTAGTTTTTGCATGTAGCCCCTGATCCCCTTAAAAGGGAAACCGGAAGGACGATGTTTGAACAATGGATTGGGCATATTCCAAAAGCCTGGGTGCATGTCTGCATCCATTTGGCTGTGGGTCAAAGCAAATGGTACCGTTTTACTCTATTTTAGTGGGGATTGCGATGTTCACTGGGGGTACGATTTGGATTTTGTCCCATGGCCATAAGCCAGTTGCAAGCTCATACGGGTCGCCCCAAGCCTCAACGACTCTCAGGTGCTGAAGCAGATCCAGGCGCAGAGTGGCGCCTTCGTGTCCATCGACCAGTCGAGCAAGGACGCGGCGTCCCAAACTCCTTTCGGCTTTGTGTTTGTTTGTTGCGCTCAAGGCCTCCGGGCCGCACATGCATGGGTCCTTGCGGAAACAACTCGACTTGCAGTTTGTTTGTGCCAGTTTTTTGTTGTTGTATTCGTTTTGGAAATGGAAGCCAAAAGGATGCGAAAGGGTTTTAGGCCCACTTTTTGGATTATTTTCATTGAAACCAACATGAAACACACGTTTGGACGTTTATATTTGTTTAAAAGTGGACATCAAAAGGAGTCTACACAATTCTTAGGGAGGTGAACCTCACGTCCCCAGAAGTTGAAAAGTAGGACCTGGGCTTGTGGGTCTTCTGAATCGTCAAAGCTCGCTTGATGGCTTGAGCTGCTGTATTTTCTTTAAGGACAAGTGATTTGTCCATCCTGCTTAGGGCATCCCTGTTTTTAGGGCTTTAGCTGGACACCCAAAGAACACCTGCCACCACGAGAGGTGACCTGGTTTAAGACGTACTTGTTTTGTAAAGCAACGGCTACTTTGTGTTGCGCGAATTATTTTCCGGCTGCGGAGGATGTCGAACCTGTTGGTGGGTGGGTGGCTGTCAATGAGGCAGTGCGCAATGTGTCACGCGATCTTGGGGCACGACGCCATGCAACCCCCCGACATGGTTGATAGTCTCGTTGCAATCTGGGAGTCTAGCTGCATGCTCCCCCTGTTTCAGTTTCACTTGTGTTGATTTGGACTTTCCATCTTGGCCCTTTTGGCGGGTTGCCGGGCGGCCTGCAAGGCAGCATCAGGTACACTTGAATACTTTTATACGGCAGCTTGCCTCGGGTAGTCTCGAGCCCCCCTGTCGGATTTGCAACCACCCACATCCAGCCGCCCGTTAGCTCGCCCCAATCCAAGACCGAGCCGAATAATGCAAATCTGAACGTAAGCCCAACACACCCGCCCTGCCGATTCTGTATCGGTTTCATTTTGGCTCGGACCTGAGATGGGGTCTGGTGCTTTGATCAGTTCTTCACCACCCCTTCCATCTTGTTTTGGAAGAAATGCCCAGCCTGGTTCACGTGAACCACTCCCATTGAGAGCGACAAGCTGGGTGTGCGTGCCAGGAGTTGGGCTTCAGCACCGTGCGGATCAACGGGGGCTGGCAACAACGCCCGGTATCTTGGGAGAGACGGGGGTATGCCTTCAAAGAGACGGGATCCATTCGGATTTCCGTGTATAGGGCTACAGCAAAGGGGTATCCAAAACATCAGATCAACCCGGTCCATTGAAGATCTTCCCGGGCTTTTTAGCTTTTTCGTTTTGGTTGGCTAGCGCATCACTTTTTGGGCCAATTTCAGAGGAATTTCGTTTTTTGGTGATGCCCAACGCCGACATGTAAAACACCCTGCTTTCCGAAAGAGGTTTCTTCAGGGTGCATTCCATCGACAGCAGCAGCAACAGCAAGAAACACGGGTATGGGGGCTTCTCGGCTTATTGCTTTCATTGCATAAGGCAAAGCAGAGGTCCTCTTTCCAGAGACTGAACCACCGACTGAACAAGCGATGCACCAATTTCTTTGCAAGAAGAATTCACTCATCATAGTTTGAGACCATTGTGATATCACTGGATCTAGGTGCTGCATTAAATATTTCGGGGGGCCCTGATGGTTTTGCAAGTGGGATGCTAGGGCGGCTCAATCTTACCTGGTGTTCCCTGAAGGCTTTTGCTGTTTTCAGGGGGAGCCAGGCATGCCTAAGACACTGGATTCGCACGAAGGGACGGGTGAACATGTCCCATTTAGAGACATCTCCGGGCAAGGTCTGGCCGCCAGGCGCCTGATTGAAGACAAGATCCTTGAGGCCGGGGGGGGTTCCTTGTTTCGTGCCCATATCAAGTCCAGATCCTTTTCCAAGGGCAAGTGTCTCTGATTTGTTAAACTCGAACCTCCTGAAACGTGGATACTTGCATAAACTCCCATGTATTTCTGATGTCCGCCAAGTCACCCAAATTATTTTTATCCTACCCACGGAATTTGGTTCTTATTTCCAAATGTTTGGAATCCGCTAAGGGCAACGGTTTCCTCGGTACCAAAAGGGTCCCTGCTTGGGACCATGTCTCCTCGCAATCTCTCTATACACTACATTTATATTTTTATTTGCAGTTACATTGACATTAGCAGTTCAATTGCACTTACATTTACATTACATTAAATCACACACACACACACACAGGAATTTCCTGCTTTGGGTCGACTAAAGATCATCTTGTTGGACCTGATCAGTTTCTCTTTGGTTGAGTGATGTCTAAAGGGGACATAGAAGGGAGTCTGGCGTCGTTTTGTTATTGTTTCTTTGATCTTTGATCTGAACAATGAGCCACTGCTTTCCCCTTGGAGGGGCAACATGGGGAAAGATCGCTTGGCACTGTCAATAGAGCTTCTTGGAATGTTCAGGCACGGAGGTATTGAATCGCTCATGACCATGCACGCCCATCAGCAAGTTTGTCGCAGGTGTGTTGACTCTCACAGAATCTCATGTTTGTTTGCAGGTTTGTTTACAAAGAGCCTTCCAGGGGGGGAAAGTAAGTGTGTGCTGCAAGACTTGCAAGACGACTATTCCTCTCCATGAGCATTGGGCCCTCACGTGGAGACCATTCGGCCTTTGACTGAGGACCTGTGGCCAAGGGGCGACGCATGGTTCGAGGTCCAAGGAATAGTCCAACCTCTGAAGGGCTTTTTTGCCATGGGGATGGTTTACTGGTGTGCCGACCTCCCCCCCCAACACTTTTTTGGCAGATGTCAAGGATTTCCCGCAACGGGCGAGCCCTTCTGAGGCCAAGCGCATTTTGCGCGGAGCCCTTTGAATCACTCGCTCCTTGCGTCTCCCCTCTAGGGACTAGGGAATATGGGTGGCTCATCTTGGGACATGTCCAGACTCAGACAGTAAAGACGCACCCATGTGTATTTGCCCGATGACGCAGGCAGATGCAGCTGCGCGGCGATGAGGGGCGGCAGTAAAAGGTTTGAGCTGCGAAGCTGATTCCATGTGCTTCCGAGGAAGTTTGCTCTGGCAGCCGTGGTTGATACTTGGAGGTTTCGTGGATTTTGGACCGGAAGCTGTTCAGAGCAAGAGGTCACATCGCAAGAACGGCTCAGGGCGCGCACGTGGAAATGGCCCTGGCAACAGCCAAGAGTTGCACAACCTCAAGCCAACACATCTAGCCAGAGCTGAAATGTCCGCCCACAAGCATCGGGATTGCTTCTGACGGTCTGATGGCGCCCCTGTGAAGTGCAGGAGCTGAACGTGCATGATGCGTGGGCTGTCTTGAGTGACTGCTGGCTTGGCGTGGTGATGTTGGTTTTATTTTTCCAAATGGCGGGCAACTACTTTTTGGTTTCCCATGAAGACCACCTGCGAGCTGCTTGCGATACATTCTGTCATCAAAAGCAGATCATTTGCTTGCTTGAGGACATGGAGCGCGAACGCGAACCATCTCCGGGCCCCTTGCCTCCGACTCAGTGAGGGGCAACTCACTTCAAACACGCCTTCGGAACCCCGTTCTGGGTTCAGACCAGACAAACGTTTGGGCCCAACACCCCAACAAAGATTACCAGTAAGGCGATTTGCGTGACCAGCACCTACCCACCCCCCGCTTAGGCGGTACCGGCTCTGGTGCGGAGGCGGGAGCCCGTGCCATCAGACCGACTCCGCAGACAGTCTCCATGCCACATCGGCGCCTCCAGCAGGCTCAAGTTTTGAAGGCCAGGCTCCCATTGGTTCCCTTGCTTATTCTGAATTTCTAACTTTTAAATCATCTCCCATGGCGGCGGCAGTGCCAGAGTCTCCTGGGACCCCGCAGACGATGGATGTGGTGGCTCAAGGATGTTGCTGCAAGCAGCACTTCCCAGATGACTTTCCAAGCCAGCTTGAAGGAATCATGTCCCCTGAGGCCTACAGCCGCGTCATTGCGGAACAAACCAAGCACCAACGTGCTTTCTGGGGTCCGGACACATGGTTGCTGACACCTTTGACCGCTGGCATTTATTTGGGCATCAAAAGCTGCGGCCACGTCAAGAAGATGAACAAGATCTTGGAGCAGCATCCCGACATTCCACACGACAAAGTGAAGATCAGATATGTCAACAGAAGCTCTGGCGAGACTTCTGAAGATGTCATCACAATCACCATTTTGGCATGCCAGAAGGACTGAGGGCATTTGTGTCACCCGAGGAATCGCCATGAAGGTTACCTGCCAAAAGGCAGCGCAGAATGCCGAGAATCTGAGGAAAAGAGCAGTCAAGCAAGCTGGATTCAGTCGACTTCTAGGGAATCATGACATCCGCACAATGAGTCCTGGCACGTGTGCTGAGCAAGCAAATCTGGGAAGGGCTTCACAAGGACATCACAGAGGATGAGGTGCCGGTCCGTTGAGCAATTGCCGGCATCACTTCGCAGTGGCCGGCTTTGTGAGCTGTTCAGAGCTGCTTGGCAGATCATCCGCGAAGTGGAGCGGTTTGCGGAAGTGAAGAAGGTGATGCTGAGGAAACGGGGTGTTTGATTCTCTTCTTTCCTTGGCCAATGCGCACCACTATATGTTTACAGCAGTTTTAGACGACTGCCTTAGGACAGCCTACAGCTCTTTCCCGTTTTTTCCTGCTTCCTTGCGTTATGGACGGCTTGCCAGATCAGCAGCTGTTGCCCATGCGCAGGAGCTCGCCGAAGGATACCTTTGCTTTCATCCAGTTCACCAACCAGAAGGTGCCATCCCTACCCAAGTAATGTCTGGAAGGGGGACGTGCCCCCAAATTCAGCACCATACCCCATGTATTTCCCTTTGGTATCGAGAGAAATCATGTATGGATGGGGCGGAGAAGGCTTTTCCCAATAGGGGGTTGGGATGCGCCCGTGAAAGCACTAAGGGCAAATCCAAACCCAAACTCCAGAGTCGGCAGGACATGGATAAGGCCCAGGAGGCTCTTGACCAGTCGGCAGCGTTGGGTGAGAGAGTGCTGGCCTGAGCTGGTCCGACTTAATGGCTTTGGTCACCTGGACCATTTCCCCCCCCAACCTGCTGTTTGACGGCCATTCCATTTTGCCCTTGGCTTTTGGGCCACAAAAGCATCGTGGGTCGAACATTTCAGTCCCCGGGTTTGTGAACACTAAGACAAGAGCCATTGATTCTGTACTTCAGGTTTGCGCTCAGCCAGCAACAGCTGACAAGAAGAAGTCCCTGCCCGTGCAGGAGCAAGGGGTCGCAGTGCTTGTGTCAAACACAACCAGGCCCATCAACCGGCATGGATCTGCAGTTGTTTGATTCGCTTTCAATGAACCACCAATCGCTTTCTGAGGGTACCTATTTTCGAGACAGCCATTTGGCAGTAAAACAAGCCAGTAGCTGCTTCCCATTTTTGTGTTGGCAACCCTTACAGGGAATCCTTCAATTTTTGGAAGTGGCGACGTTTCACTGGACCCTCACCATTATATCGGTTTTCCACCAAAAGGGGGAAGCCAGCAACATGGGGAAAACTGCATTTGGTTTCGCTTTACAACAGGCCCAGGCCCTAAATGGAACAGCCCCAAGAAGGGTACAGCAACAAAAAGAGCAAACCTGAATAGATCAAGATCTCAACGTTCAGAACCCCTGAAAGGAAGAATTAGCCTCAAGCTCCTCTTTTCTGTGCAACCATTTCTGCTTGTGCTCGTGCATGCGCATTCGTTGTCGGAGGCTGCTTCTTCTGCTGTTTGCCTCGTTGATGGTCAGAGACTCTTTCTTCTTTGAGCTAGTTTTCTCTGTGTGCCTATACTTGGTTCGTTCGCGGTCATAGGCTTCACCCGAAACCAATCCCAGAATCTCACCAGCCCCAAGACACCCAAATCGGAGAGGCAGGAAAGTCAGAAGGGTGGGGAGGGTGGAGAAGAGGAAACCACGCTTGTATAATATGTGTGTAACAATTTGGGACCCTTGTTTGTGATGGTTTCAATTGGAAGCAAGGAAGCCAACCATTTCAACCGGACCCCTATGTTTGGATATACCCATATCACAGCATGATGCTCGTTGTAGGACAAGCCTAGACGCCACGACAGCCGCGGTGCTGAACGGCGAGAGGTGTGCAGTTGGTTTGCCTCCAGTCAATGGACTATAGGTGTGATTTCTTTGGAGTCGATACCCTTTTGGGGGTTGTTTCAAAGGGAAGCCACTCACGTGTTGGCTTTCCAGCACTCACAAGTATGGACCCTCGGACGGTTGGTTCAAGTTGGTTCTCCCTCAGAGCCGTCCCAAAAGGGTGCTCAGTTTTGGCAAGGCCAAATTAAACGGCAACACACAAGGATCTTCCTCCAAGTTTTGTTGAGATGCCGCATAGATCGTGCCAATGTCAAGTGTGCTTGTATAATCCTTGTACTGTCTGTGTCAGCGTAAGCTCAAGAGATGACAGGGGGGCAAGGGCGGCCGTGGCGGCGGCAGCTACGGCGGTGGCGGCAGCTACGGCGGTGGTGGCAGCTACGCCGGTGAGGGCTATGACTACGGCGGCGGCTATGCTGGCGGCGGCTATGGCGCCGGTCGCGGCGCCAGATGCTCAGACCACTGGCAGATGGGCCCCCATGGAAACTTGAGCCTCCGCAGTGCAACTACCGAGAGTTGAGTGCGTCACAGCGCGAGGACCGCGTTGGCGACCGACGCCAAAGAAGCCGTACACCAGGCGGGGTCGATGATTCGGGAGGGGGCCAGCAGAGGTCAGTTACTCGAACTTCTGCTAGTTCTTTAGCTTCATGGACGTATCATGTCCCATCCCGCGAGTCAAGGGTTGGTATCTAGGCTGCCTGAGCAGATCTGCAGAAGCATGCAATCCTTTCATCTACTTTGAATGCAGTGTTGCATGAGTGGCGGACGAACATAAATCATACGACTGCGCACGCGCGGTACTGGCCGAATGAGACCCTGTGTGCCAACAGAAGCTCCATCTTGGAACTTAGCGCCATCCAATGGCAATTGTCAATTTGTTGGGGAGTTGATGAGCTGGAAGAAGACTGCAATGGCACGCCATGCGCGCATGCCAGGCAGGGGTGAGCGGCGTGGAAGGCCGCAGGAGACCATCAGAGCCTGCGCTGGGTGGGCAAAAGTACATGCAGCGTGTAGAGAAACAAACAATTTTTGTAGTCTGGAACTTTGGAGGTCTTTGTCCCTCTAGGGGTTGTGAGCTGTCCGGCTGATGCCGATGATCAAAGGACGTTTAGAACTTCCGTGTTACGCACAAGATTCTGTGGCAGGCGCAGCGCTCACGCAAGGTTTGGTATAGAATTCGTGACAGGCGTAGGACTTTCATCAGACCCGGTGCAAATTTCGCAGATCTTAGGGCAGGCGCAGCACTTTCGGAAGGCCAGGACGGCCAGGACAGAATTCGTGACAGGAGTAACAGAGAGCCAGAGATACAAAGAAAGAAAGGGAACAAACACAACAATAAATATTAAAAAAAGGAAGACAAAGAAAGAAAGAAAGAAAGAAAGAAAGAAAGAAAGAAAGAAAGAAAGGAAGGAAGGAAGGAAGGAAGGAAGGAAGGAAGGAAGGAAGGAAAGAAAGAAAGAAAGAAAGAAAGAAGAAAGAAAGAATAAAGAAGGAAGAAAGAAGGAAGAAAGAAGGGAGGAAGGAAAAAAAGAAAGAAAGACATAACAAGCATAAAGCAAGACATATATAAAGAAAGAAAACACACAAAAAGAAAGAAAGAAAGAAAGAAAGAAAGAAAGAAAGAAAGAAAGAAAGAAAGAAGGAAAGAAAGAAGGAAAGACATCGAGAAATAGATAAATAAATGAATACAGAAAGAAGGAGATAAGTAGATAGAGAAAGAAAGAAACAGAGAAAGACATCAAGCAAGGAAATAATTACCGAAGTAGAAAAAAAAGGATGGAAGTCAGCGAGAAAAAACATCAAGCAAGAAAGGATGAACGAGGGAGGGATAGAGACAAAGAGAAAAGGAGAAAGATACCGATAAAGAGAAAGGGACAGGGGCAAATAAAGAGAGAGAGAGAGAGAGAGAGACGAGGAAGAGACGGAGAAGGGGAGAAGCGGGGTGCTCCAAGCACATTGCTGATGTATGATAAGACAGGCCTAGGCCACTAAACTTCCACTGAGTGCTGCAGCATCGTCAAGGTCTGTGCCTTCACTTTCATGGATGTGGGCAGTAAGTTTTTGAGGTTGCGCGCAACTGCTGTAGATGATGGCAAGAGCAGATGGCTAAGGCAACTGTCCTTTGAGTATCAAGCCGAGGGAGCAGCAAAAAAGGGATATTTAAAGGCGGTAGCAGTGGCTCTGCCCTCGGCCTGGTGTATGTCTTAGGAATGGTTTGGACTGCCCGAGTGAACTCACAACCTAGTGAGGTTCCCAAGAAGACGCGTTGTGACCCAGTGACAAAATTTGGGCTCCACGATGGAGATGTTGAGGCCCCTTTTTCGAGGGTTCGTCAGAAGGGCTGCAAGTGGCGTCCCCCAGCATGTTTCCTACCATGAGCACGAGATCAACCAAAAGTGAAGCCATTTGCGCACACTCACATAGATGTGTCAGGAGGAGTGGCGCGACTATCGTCGAGCTGAACGCAATGGTCGGCCTGATGATCGTGGGCGTGATGGCCGACAAGGCTGAATTGGCGTTTGGCGGACATGTGACAGTGCGCGAAAACCAGGGAGCCACCTGAAAGACATGAGAACAGCCCAATTGGAAGGCCCAGTTTTGACACAGCAATGGTTTTTTCAGATCGGCTTCGGTATCAAACCGAAAGCTGGGTCCAGCCTGGTCCAGCTCTCTTGGGGCTGTGGGTGGATTGTGCTCAGGCTATCCTCGTCGAGCCGCCTCCCGTTCGCGAGATTTCCCAGACAGGGAGCCTCGAGACAGGGAATTTCGAGAGCCCCGAGATAGAGATGCTTACACCCGGGACTACAGGGAACCACGAGGTGACTTTCGAGCACGAGGCCGTCTGTGCAGCCATGAAGCTATGCCAAAGCGAGTTGCGATCCTTTTTGGTTCATGTTGGAAAAGAGGCTAATATGAAACGGACCGTTTGAAGGGGGTGCAACTTGTTTTGCCCCCCAGGGCAGGCTTGACACATTCCTTGCACGTGGCCTTGCCACTTGGTTGATGCCCTTGCAGCACCTCGCTATGAAGACCGGCGTGATACCAGACGGGCTGACAGCAGAGACTTTCAGGCGCGGCGTTTCGTCCCGAAAGTGACTTTCTTGCTTGTTCGCATCTGCATGAACCTAAACCATGTCCCTAGAACCCGTAACCCATTCGTGGCCCCCCCCAAAAACAATATGAACATCCTTTGCGCTGCCCACCTGGCCTTGCGAAGAATCATCAAAATGAATGCAGAGGTTCCAGGCAAACCTGCCCTATAGAGCGGCTCTTTTTAAGAGGATTAATTGGCAATCTGGGGATCAACCCGCACATGGGGCGTACGAGGGATATCTTTCTCTCTCTAATATATGTATGTATGTATATATATATATATGGTACCCCCCCCCCCAGTACCCAGGTGTTGTTGCATCATGTATCAAAACCATTGATATTTACAGTGTATTTTGATTGAACTCATGCATTTTCTGCAAGGCCATTTTGTGGACCAAAAAACACAAAACACCAAAAAACAAAACAATCCTATTCCCCACCATGGCTGGGATTCCGTTTTTTTTGTTTTTTTTTTTTTGGTCCAGGGAAATGTTGCGCAACAAATTCCAAATGTTGCGCAACATTTGCGTTTCACGTCTATATCCTAACCATAAGAAAGAGAAAGGAAAGGCATAGGAAAGACATACAACCGCTTCATTCCTCATCTCTTCGTCATAGCGGTTAACCTTTCCCATTCTCTTTCTCTTGGTTACTTCCGTCTCCTATCTACATTTCATCCCTCGCCGTCTATAACCAAGAATTCTTGACAGCGAGGAAACAGGAAAGAGAAAGATATTGCCTACCAACGAAGATTCCTCGCTCACTGTCACTTCATCTTTTCCTACCTCTTGGCTCATCCCTTCGCCAATCCATTAAATCCCATCTGATGTTCCTTGTCACCTCATTCCTCATCTCTTCGTCATAGCGGTTAACCTTTCCTTTTCCTTTCGTACACCATCAATCTCAGAGATGAGCTATTACAGAAAGGTTCATCACATCCCATTATCTCCATTCTATTCACTGAAATCTCCAAGATCCTAGAGCACGAGGTAAAAGGAACATAGCTGTCTACCGAAAGACTCATCCAGAAGCCGTTAAAGGGTTTGTGGTCAACAATTAAAAATCCATTCCCTCTTTCTTCCCGTTAACTCTCTATTCCTCATGTCATTTACCTTTCATATCCTCTGGTCCTATCTTTTACTGCATACCATCTCATCCTTAAGCAACAGAAAGGAAAGGGACAGATGGGAGATGAAGGTGGGATTTCTCTTAGGTCCCATTCAGCATCTGGGATTTGTTGACAGGCGAGAAGTCCAGGAGATGGAAAGAGATGTACCTTCGTTCGTCATCCTCATGTTCCTTCGTCCATGATATTCCTCTCTTCATCTGTTGCTTCTTGGATGATTTCTTCCTTGGCAGTCAATGGTCAAGAATTCTTGGTTATAGACGGTTATCTGTAAAATCCTTGACATCTTAACCCTTACTCACCTCCAACGACCAGGAGGTGGACAGGAAGGACAAGTGAATCAGATGTAAGCGAATGAACGGTGGAAGGGAATGGATCTCTTCTCTCTCCCATTCCCACTCCTCTCTTCGTTCGGGAGTGTCCATGAGATGAAGGAAGATGAAATCATTTGTAACCGCTGGAAAGAACTGGCCAGCGGATGGTAAAGACAAGAAATACAAAGATAAAGAAATAGAAATAAATAATAAAATGATAAAGAAATAGTAATAAATAATACAAGACTAGAAAGATAAATAACCATAAGATGTCTATACAATGCCAATAATAGATCTATTTGTATCTGAGGTAAAAGGAAAGAGATAATGGTAAACAGGATATTTATTCGTGAGACAGCTATCTTCATAATGTCCTTCCCTCTCTCTCCGTTCCATCGTGAGTCTTTCATAGTGACAGGAACTCCAGAAATTGAATGGAGTGAGACGATGGAGTGAGAGGGAACGGTTAGACGAAGGAATGGGCTCGCTTTTCATCATGTGTGCTCACCCATTGACAAGTTGCCGCGAGCGAAGGCAGCGGGGAAATGGGTGAGTGAGGAAGGACATGCTTCTCTCGTCCACTCACCAATGAAGGTTGACCGTGTACTCGCGAATCATTCTCTGAGTTCAACCGCCAGTCAAGGAAGGTCCAACATTCCCATTTCCTTCTTTTCTGCTCTTGGGATTACACCGCCAGGCGAAGATACCAAGGAAGGGAAAGATATGGAAAGGACTTGGAACTTTCCTGTTGACGAGGTAACCATCATATTTCTATCTCTTTATCACGTGTCTTTTCCTTTCCCTTTATCTGTGTCTTGGGAATTAGAAAGAGAGGGAAATGATAGGACAAGAGAAACAGGAAAAGATGATGACCAAGAAGAAAGAGAATCCAGAAGTCATTCCTTTCCCATTCATCTCTTTCTCTACTTCCGTCTCCTATCTACATCTCATCCCTCACCATCTATAACCAAGGATTCTTGACCATTGACTGCCAGCCCTCTCCTCATCCTTCCCTTCATCATCCCCAGCCAAGAAGCGGCTGTTAGGGATGGAAGGGTCGGAAAGGGACGTACGAAGGCTGTGTCCAAGCCCAGACCTGGGTACCTGGGGGGGGGGTAGCATAGATATATATATATATATATATACCAGTTATGTCCCAAATAGTATCTGAAGACTTCGGCCTTGGCTCGGAGCAGTCGAGACTCGACAAAAGACTGCAGGCCACTGGATATCGGGAGCGCGCTCCGCCTCGGGACCCGTGAGCCATATGCGAAGGTGCTGAAGGCTGCATAATTTGGTTGGCCTTGGACCATCAAAGCGGTTTGGGCATGATGGTTCACCTTTCTCAGCAACCCCAACCTTTTGATCAAACCCTCCTGCTATCCGAACCTTTTCAATTCCAAAGGTTTGGGGGGCCTTTGGTTGACCGGAGCCCCAGGTACGGTGGAGAGCGCCGGCTCCTCAGCGGTTTGCAGGTGAATTTGATGTTTCGCGTTCCGAGGCGCGGGAAGTTGGCAACGGGGCCCTGAGGACGGTCGACAGGTGGGGAGAGGTTCGGTCAAAATGTGGTCAACTTGGGAAGGAGATGCAGGGACCCACCAAATCTCGCCTGACAGCAAACCTCTCACATCCTTTATGGAAGCGGTGTATTTTTGGCTCATATGGTGCAAGTCCAGCAGTAGCAGCCCTCCTCAAGCTGACTCTCTGTCTCCATGAGTGGAAACACCAGGCCAAGCCTCCGATGGGCAGGCGTGGTGTGTGTGTGTGTGTGCGCGCAGTTTTTGGCTTATTGCTAGTCAATTCGAAATTCGGCGATCCAGCTGTCAGCACACCAACAAGCAGGAGTCTACGGATGCCTGGTTTGCCCAGAAGTTTGTTTCCTTCGCCAAGCACGCAGGCACAAGATCACGGTTGAGAACTTGCCGGATGATATGACGTGGCGGCGCACTGAGCTTGCTATCAGTGGCAGAGGTTATTGAAAGTCTGATTCGCAAGTTGGAGCATTCGCCGTACCGAGGGCTGAGCTAAAAGATCTGGGGAAGGAGCACTAGAGGGCGTTTGGAGAGTCAGACTCTTGTCCGAACGACACATGCCGGACGAGGTCAGTTCCAATGTTGTCGGGTGGGGGTGGGGGGTTGGGCTGGCCTTGCTCGGGAGGACTTTGGGCCATCGATCACGTTCGTGAAGACTTATCAGGCACCTGCAGAGATATCTTTGTACACCCGATTCGATGCCCTCGAAACTTGGCTCAGTTGCTGCCATTTCCAGAGTCAAGATTGTTGCTTCGGATGTTGGGTTTCCAAGGGTGCAACCCGGGGTGTAATACGAAGACTCTGAGAAGACAGCATGCAACTGCGTTCTGCACGGTTTTGCTGAATGCGTGTTTAAACATGCATGCGCCTGAAGCAGGTTAAGGGAGTCTACTGTGGGATGCTCGAGTTTCAGGACGACCGATCCCGATGCGCGTATGCATTTGGGTCTGGCATGGTCTGACAATTCAAATTTAGCGTTCGGTCTTTACTGCATGGTTGCTCATATTTCAACCATCACAATACCATATAATACCTACTGATACTTCTGGCCAGGACAGAGGTGATGCCGAGAACGCTGTCCGTGAGCTGGATAACCGGAGAGTTCCCCGGCACCAGTTTGCACCAAACGGGAGTAGCAAACATCTGACCGGGAGCACAGCGCGGCTGTGAAATTTGAAGCTTTGAAGGGGAGACACAACGTATTGTCGCTTGGGCAAGCAGCAAGTTGGAGGGCATGGGAAGCAACTGGCGTACACCAAAGATGGAAGCTCGATCTGGCCAGGTGCAGGGCAGCTCTCTGCGGCTGCGAGCATACCTCGGGGACAACTTCCCCGGCTAGTCGGCGAGCGATCCAACGGCTGAAAAACAGGAACACCTGGGTCTGTCCCAAAATTAGGTACCTGGCTGGGCAGGTGGTCATATATCAAGTTCCGAATGCAAGCGTCAGTCCTTCCAAATCGCACCATACAACTATCAATGAACGTTAATCAAAAATACGGACAATTGAAAGCCACGCAGCGCATTTTGGACAACCGGCCACGTGGGGCTCTTTCTTGGCTCACAGCTTGTGCTGGCTGTTTCAGCAGCGGCCGGAGCCTCGGCTTTAAGCCAAAACTCGGATGGAGTTTGGTGAGGGGCAGTCCCTCTACCATAGAACAGATTGGCAAGGGTGCGTTTTCGTCTTTCCGCCCGGTGCAGCAAACACAGCCCTTTCGATTCTTTGCCCTGGTTGTTGTTGTGGACTCGTTGAATCCCAGGTTTTGATCATGACATTCTGACTCTCACTGCCCCCTGAGATCCCTTCGACCTCGACTTGCTGGCGATTCGCCGCTCTCTACATTCATCATGAAGCAGCTTGGCTGGAAAACTACTAGCACACATGCCTGTGAGCATCTGACAAAACCACCGGTAGTCTACAAGTGGTAGGTTGGGGTTATCAAGTTGATGTTGAGCACCATTTAAAGACGGATCAAGATGAATTTGGGTCCTCTGGTGGACATCATTTACATGGGCATTGCTGTCCAGCCAGTTTTGAGGACGTTCTCTATTGAAATTCATAGCATGACAACCTCACATTGCGGGGTGGTTGGAAGGCTGCTGCTTTGGGACCTTCCGCGGCACAGGTACCAGACCTCGACCATGCAGCGCGGAAGCATTCAGATGTCATACCCTCTCAAGACCTGATCCTGATGCCCCGTGTTGTCAAGGAAAGTCAGGGTTTCCCAAATTTCTCGCCTGACACCCTCACCTTGTAGGTAGCATTGCCCGTGACATGAGGCATTTCACTGTGGAGTCCGATTTGTCCGATTCTGTTTCCTTCATGGTTTCAGAGTGCTTGTTTTTGAGCTTCCCGCTATGGGGCTCTTGCTTGCAGGCCTGCCCCTGTGCTTCGCAACTTGTGCTTGGACAACGCTCTAGGCTCAGATGTGGGCAAGGGCTTCGTCTTATCCCTCGTTGAAGGAGGATTGAAATCTATTGGGCCCGGCTTTGCTTGATGTGACGGCGCCTGGTTCTCTGCCAGGCGAGAGAGAATTTGGTTCGCTGCAGGGAACAGGTCACTTGAAAGTAGGGACGTGATGATGTTTCAAGCTTTTGGCTGGAGCGCAAGTTCCATTCGATTAGCATTGTCTGTGCACGGTGTGCTTGCAGAAATTGAGCAGAGTACAGAATGTGCTGCACACAAAGATATCTTTTCAGTTAGGCCGTTATTTTGGGGTGTTGGTCATTTGCTTTCCTTTGGACACCCGCCACTGCACAAAACGGGTCCATTGGCAGTTGGACAACATTCCCTTCTAAGGACATACTGAGGACCATTGCATTTTTATATATCAGATGTCTCAAGACCTAGGGACCCTTCGTGTAAGTCCTTTCAGGGAGGTAGTATTTTGGGTGTGTCCCCTGTTTAGGGGACCCCGCCGAAAAAAGGAGAAGAGGAACCACCAAGCAACGTTGGTGGGTTCTTTTTGTTCCCCAGATAGCTGAAAGCTATAGGGGTTCTAACTTCTAATAAAGAAGGGAAAGTGATTTGCGAGATTGATGGCCGGGTGCTAGGGGGCATGCAGTTTGGGGTGCTGGTGGATGCTGCTTTGCGAGCTCATGCAGTTTGGGGTGCCGCTGGACGTGTTTTGCGAGCTTCGCATTTTTGCGAGATTGATGGCCTCATGGAGCTTGGGTGCTGATACAGGTGCTGTTTTGGGGTACGTACTGTTTGGGGTGCTGTTTGAGGTGCTGGTGACGTTGTGGGCGCAATTTTCCGAGATTGCCGGCGAGTGCTAGGGGGCATGCAGTTTGGGGTGGTGGTGCAAGTGCTGTTTTGGGTTGCTGTTTGAGATGCTGCTGACCGCATTTTTTTCTTCTCCCAGAGAACTGAACACCATAGGCGTTCTATCTTCTAATGAAGAAGGGGACGTTGCAAGATCGACGGCTGGGAGCTTGGGGGCATGCGCTTTGGGCTACTGGCGCAAGTGCGTGCTGTTCAGTTGAGGTGCTGGTGACAGTGCGTGACGGCAGGGTGATTGGGGACATGTCCGGTGCGCGCAGGTGCTGCATTGGGGTGCTGTTGGGGCTGCTGTTTTGAGGTGTTGGTGACGGTGCGGGCGCATATGGGTGGCAGGGTGTAGGGCGCGTGCTGTTTGTGATGTCGCGGTTGTAGCATCATCATGCTGTCCGCAGCATCATGATGCAGTCAGCTGAACCGATTCGAACGTTGTTGCTGCTCTAACTGTGGCGCGTAGTGGTTCGTGGCTGGTGTATCATCATGATGTAGTCAACCACGTCATGATGCTGCTGGAATCGCTGCGATGCTGCGTTATGGTTCGTGGGCGCGGTGGCGCCATGATCTGTCAACATCAGGATGATGCTGAGTTTCATTACGTTGTCGCAAGATGATTCGTGGCTGTGGTACCATCATGCTGCTGCATTTGCGATCCCCATGATGCTGTTCGCATCACCATGCTGCTGCTCGCATCACCATAGTAGCACGTAATCGTTCGTGGCTGGTGTATCAGCATGGTGTTGTCAACATCATCATTATGCTGTTGCGCTCATTAGGACGTTGTCTGTGCGTTTATTTAGTGCACCATGCTGAGTGGCTGTGGTGTCATCATGATGCTGTCAACATCATCATGATGCCGCGGGAGCCATTATGATGCTGCGTCATGGTTCGTCGCCGTGGTGTGCTATCTGGGGTCTATGCTGGTGTATTTTTTTTGGGGGGGACCCCCCCGACAAAAAAAGAAAAAAGAGAAGAACGCGTTGGGCAGGTTTCCTTTTGGTTTTGCTTTTTCCGACACCAAAAAGTCAAGAAGTGTGGCATCCCAGGTTCACGCCGCCAGCGACGCCCAGTCGGACTGCGCCGGCGGCCCAGACTGAGACGCGGCGCCGAAACCTGAACGAACCGCCTCGGTTCGGATGACAAACACGTGTCAGCAAACATGTCGTTGTTTTTGTTTTTGTTTCAGATGGCATCAAACTGTTGCTGGGGGCAGAGTTAGAGTGCAAGCTATTTGGTGGTTGTGGTTGATGGTGCTTTGCGTTGATATTTTTAGGATCGGTGTAGGTTTATTGTTTGGACGAGAATTCCATTTGGCGCGGCGCACCAGTTTGTAGCGATTTGCCAAGCCAACAGTTACAGAGTCGCAGAGTACCAGTCGTCAGGGATGTAGCTTGCCTGTGATGGCTGAGCCTCTGACTCGATACATTTCTATTTCTGCGCTTTCCTATCAGCCCGTCTGACCCATCCGGCCGAGGCCATCTTCTTTAACTCCGATGCATTTAGTGATTTTTTTCCTTTTTTTAGGCCCGTCTCTCAGTTTCGGGTGGCTGTCGTGTGCGTACATCATGAGCTGTTGTTTGTCTCATCCTTGTGGATATTGTGCATTTGCCGAGCTTATTGCGCTGATATGGGACGTCATGGTTTGAAGAGTCAACCGCATTCAGAACTGGCAGCGTGCAAGGTTTTTTTGAAGAACCTAAATGAGTATGAGACGAGTTGAGACGCTCTATGAGGCGGGGACAAAAAGCTCTTTCACGTTCCTGTTTTGCACCTGGCTTCACGTCGGCAGGTTTTGGGAACACATCCTAATGCTTCTGCTGCTGAACTCAAAGCAGTCAAGGGCTTGGGAGTTGCTCTCAACCCAGTGGAAGCGGACCAGACCTTAAGGCCTTCAAGCGGCAAGCACTTGCTCTGCATCCTGACAAAGGAGGGTCAAAGGAGGACGCGACATGGCACACATTGACATTGAGACAACACACAACTCTATTTGTGGCTGACAACCTGTGCCTGCAGCTGCATGACATGGGCTGTGGCTGCGTCCTTGAGTAGCCGTGCATGGGTTTGCGCAGTTCAACCGAAGTTCAACCTGGGCAGGCCTTCCAGCAAGCTCTGAGGGCATTCGAGGCGTTGTGCACGACTTCCCGCAGCGCTGCCACTGGTTCACTGGGCTAGGTGCTTTCAGATGATGCCAGCAGGGCAGAGTATCACAAGAGCTTGCTCCAGGCGCGACACTTTCAGCTGGCCAATTGCAGCGATGGAAGTCTTGGCCAGCTGGTAGAAAAGTGCAATTTGCGGAGCGTCTTGCAGGCCAAAGGCTCAAAGCGGCCCAGACAGGAGTCCGCAAGAGGCCATGTGATACTTGACGTTTGGATTTCATCCATCACTTTGGGTCACTCGAGTCTGGGTGTGTGAACTCCTTCATTCCATGAGTGTGTCAGCACAGGCCGAACAGCAAAAAGGCGGAAGACAGAGGCGCGATCCCGACCTGGCGCCCAGCATTCGAGCCCCTTTCGCGTATGAGCACTTTCTCGTAGGCGGGTGCAAAGCCGAGTCGGCCAACGAAGCAAGGCTGGATGCCTGTAGTGGTGAAGCATAACAGCCCCCTTGCGAGATACCAAAATCCAATATTGAGTACTGGCAAGAAGCAACAAGAGACAGGTTTTCTCAAGTTTCTCCTTTGTAGCGCTCTTAACAAGCATCACCTTTTGGTTTGCAGCTTCCTTCAAGTGCGGTGACGGTTTATGAGAAACATAGGCAAGCCTGACTGAACAGGCTTCAATTTCTGTTGGCTTGTCTCGCTTGCAGACATAACACGCTGGCACTCAACAGCTTGGACTTGACCCAGGCAAATGCCCAGAGAGAGGCCCTCGCGCGTGGGGCATCCCAGCTTAGATGTCTTGGGCCAACAGGCACATCCAACACGCGACCGCGGCCCGTGCTCAATTATTTTTCCTTTTTCCTGTAATCCAACCCCAAATAGGGTGCCCTCAACAAGATATGACCCCCCCCCCGCCGTTTCTCCTTGGGTTCGGGCTCTCAGGACCGGCGCCGGCCGGGCCCACCGGGCGAAAGCCAGCTTTCGCTTGCAAAGCCTGGCACGGGTCAAGGGCCAGGAGGGTTTTGCCAAATTGGTTCAATGTTTAAACAACCAGAAGCAACATGTTCCACCATCACTGATGAACAATGATGACAATGATCAAACTTATGCTGGTATAGTGATGGGATTAACAATATTGGTTAAAAAAGTTCAAAGGGCTTAGCCCAGAAGCCCCAGGAGGACCAGCTGCTGCAGCGGGTCTTCACCTTGCTGCAGAAGCTGACGGCCGTGCGGCGCAGGCAACTGCTGCAGGAAGGCTTCACCCAGGCCGGGAGAAATCTGCCTGGTGTTGGCGCAGGTGAAGCTTTTTGTAAATGAATTCCGCAGATCCCCCAGTCCGCAGTGGCAAGGTCCTTGTAGATTTGTCAACGCACATTGAGGCTATGCAGGTTGAGCAGCGTGTGACTTGGACTGCGTGTGCCAAGGCGCAGCGCAAAGCCCTGGAGACCTGGGCCTTGACGCAGTCCCCGCGCCCGAAGGCTCCCAAGCCGCGCCCGGCGCCCAGGGCGCCGGGGCCAAAGCGCCGCGCGGCGCCGAGCACCGCGCCCGGCGCCGGGCCGCGGAACTCCGCGACGCGGGGCATCGCGTCCTTCCACCGCAACGGCCAGGTCTACCATCAGGTGAGCGTTTGCGTGCAGACGCTTTGCATGACGGCGCGCAAAGTCAAGGATTTGAGCAAAGCCCTTGACATCTTGATGATTTTGATGGAGATCAAGCAGCAGGTGAAACGTATCCCGGCTGCAGCCCAGGGAACAATAAGGACCCTTTTTAGCGTTTCTCGATTCTTCTTGCAGCTGCAGGCTGCAAACACAGGTTTTTATGGTTGCGTGCAAAATTCAAGATGGGTTTTGGCTACCTGTCAATTTCAAATTGCTGTGTTGCTTGCCCCTTCAGGCTTGCGTGCTCCATGCTATGATTCCAACTCTTTTTGCAGTAGCCCTCGGATGTTCATGATGTTGCAAATAATTTTGGTTTCGCAGGTCCCATCACATCAGGGCATCAGAAGAGTGCACAATCCCCGAAGGATTGTGCAGGTATACTGTGCGCTGCTTGCTGAAGCAGTAAACTTAATGGATTGCTTTCTGTAAATTCCTTGACTTACCATCCTTTTTATGCCACGCTTGTCCTTGTCTCTTTTCATGTTGCTAAAGTGCGGCAGCTCCAGGTTTGCCCAATTAAGGAAACAAGGATGGGTGGTTGCGCACCATGTTTGTTTCCACCACGCTGTTCGCCAGATTTGAAGCGCATTGCATTTCGTGATCCCCCCCACAAGGCAAAATTCACCCCCAGGGTGGTTGATTTCCCCCAAAGGGGAAACCCTAGACTGTGCTACCGACGGAGGTCCCTTGAAATCGACAATGTAGTCATAGGGATCCCCATTTCAGCATCACGGAAAGGCTGGTAGCCTTCCCTGGCAAAATCCAAAAAGAAACCTTGCTTTTTCGTTGTCAGGCATGGATGCGCCGGACGCCTTCGTGCAGGGCATGACCAACTCAGTGCCCACGATCTTACGCGAGCACGAGGTGACGGCGGAGGACATTTTGGGGCAGCTTCCGTAAACAAGACATGCACCCCTTTGGGTGTTTTTCAATATGGGAGGCACCAGCGCAAAACAAAGTGTTTGTTTCTCTCAAACCATGGGTGTTTCTCAAAATTCGGGGAGAACACAATCCACAAGGGGCTCAGACCATTTTGGGACATGTTCACATTTATCTATACATATATACATATATACATATATATATTATACACCCGCATATGTACCCGCAGCACTCCTGGTTCGTCGTCGCTCCACAACGCATTTCGTAGTACCCCGTCATGCGGCCGTTGCAGGGGGATTCGCGCAGTCTTGGGCACTTTCGTGTGCAACTCGCGGCCGTTACAGGGGGGAAACGTTCAGCTACCCGCGCGCGACGCAAAGGTTTCACTCTTCTTTCGCAGCAGACGTTCAATCGTGCGCAGACGTGTTCGCAGACTTGTAGACGTTCGCAGTGGTCTCGGGGCCAGATTAGGCTGAGTCCTCGAGATGCTTTCAATGTAGATAGCTGTGACTGGCTGGATGTCTGAAAAAAAGGGGCGGGCGAGGTTCTCTTGGAGCGACGGCGAACCATGAGTGCTGAGTGTAAATATATATATATATATATGCACATATTAATATGTATATATATATATATCTACACACATATCTATACATACTTGGGTACGCGTACACATACATATATGTCAGGAGGAGTCGTAACAATGACAGATACTGTGGAACAACGACCAGACAATATATAAACACTGACAATTTTTAATTGTCCATCCCGACAGCACGTCTTTGCAGGTTTTCCATGACAGATCTATCTATTCAGGTTTTTCCAAGCGCCGAAATCGCAATCCAGCGCCCAAATCGCGTTTTTCCAAGTCAAACGGCCGATTGACTCAAAATCCACAGATAGCGCCCAAATCGCGTTTTCCGAGTCAAACGGCCGTTTGACTCAAAATCCACAGATCCAGCGCCCAAATCCAGCGCCCAAATCGCGTTTTCCGAGTCAAACGGCCGTTTGACTCAAAATCCACAGATCCAGCGCCCAAATCGCGTTTTCCAAGTCAAAGAGCCGTTTGACTCAAAATCCACAGATCCAGCGCCCAAATCGCGTTTTCCGAGTCAAACGGCCGTTTGACTCAAAATCCACAGATCCAGCGCCCAAATCGCGTTGTCCGAGTCAAACGGCCGTTTGACTCAAAATCCACAGATCCAGCGCCCAAATCGCTGATTTGTACCGAGACCGTCGTTTCCTAGTCAAGAAGGCCGTCTAACTCAGAATGTGCAGATCCAATGCGATTAGGCTAAAAACGTGCTTTGTCGAGGTAGTTTTTTTTTTTTGTCGGGGTTGTGCTAAAGTTTTGGCGCGGTTCTAGATTTCATTGCCAGTCGTGGTTACAACCCCTCCTCCATATATGTATATATATATATATATATATCTATATACACGAAGAGAGAGAGAGAGAGAGAAAACACCCGCCCGCCAAAAGAACACTGAACGCAACAAGCAACACTATATTTTGCATCAAGCCCTGCAAATTTCACAAGTGTTTGCCACTGAATATGTACACATATGTATATATATATGTATATATACACATAGATGCATATATATATATATATATGTACTACGTATACCAAATATGAGGTCATTCTTCAAGAAAAGTAAAGATGGGTTTTCGCATGCCCCGAGTTTTGTTGAGTTGCTGCTATTTTTGCCCTCAGTGGCGTTCCGGGCATGAGAGAGACATCCAGAACACGCCTTTGTCGTCATGAGTTTTGATACTTTCAATGGGGAGCACTTTCAAAGTGGACAAAGCCCCTGGCGACAACAAGCCCATCAAAGGGTTTCCACAAAAACATACCCACCAAACGGTCCAAGCACTAAAGACAAGCAATTGATGTTGATCAACGAGTCATAACTTGATCTATGACTCTTTGTCAAAATAGAGCGACCCCCCAACAATAGTGTTTGCATTTTGGTTTTCTTCTAAGCCAACCCAAAACTGGGTACCCTAAAACAAACACACACACACACACAGACGCACTCGGGCGCACCCAGCTCGAGCGGCCAAAGCAGGAGCTCGGGCTTCGCTTCCAGGTGATGATGGGCATGCGCTTTTGGGCCACTCGCAGTGTTTTAGAGGGTTTCCCCTCCCGGACCATCTGAGAGGCAAGCTGTTTGTATAAACACTTCGAAACCACAGAAAACATGGGAAATCAAAGCTATATTATATTCTTGCGACGGGGTCATACGTGTATATATATATACACATAAAAAACAGCTGTCCCCTGAACCTAGTGGTATTGGTGGTAGTGGAAACGCTCATAGAGTTGTGGAGGTCGCTGTAGCGGACCACAGTAGGAAGTCAACTTTCTGAGCTGCTCGGGCAGGCCGGGTTCACTCGGGAAACCAAAAAATACAATGATACACTATCCCAAATTGGACTCACCAGCATTTTTGGGACCCCCAAAACGGGCGATTTACCTTGGTACAAATCCACAAATGGGTTTCGGTTTTCCCTCAAACCAAAAGGGGGAGTCACTCAAACACGGGGTTTTCTCTGCCCCAAAAACCGACGCCATCATTTCTCCATGGGACTCGGATCTGAGGTGCGGCCTCCGCTGCACACGCCGCAAGAGGCGCGGGTGGAGGATGCCCTGCGAGCGCCGGGAGCTGAGAGAGGGCAAAATGGGCCCGGAGCCACGGCGAGGCTTTCGATTCTTTCGATTTCCGGTTTGCTTTCACCCCGCAGGTTGTCTCTTTATGGCTAAATGCTCAAGGCTTTAGGAGACCGACTCAAGAGAATACACCCAGATTGGCGTGTCTTTTTTGGGGAATTGCCGTTGGTCTTTTGGGAACCAAAAGGAAGTTTGGGGTCCCTTCTGCTTCTAAGTGGGCGTGATCTTTTATTGGTCGGACCTTTTGGTTGGACATTGCGAAAACGGACCCCTCACAATGGTTTAGACAAATGGACAGTTTTTCCATTGTCCTCCCGGTGCTTTTTCCCGTTTCGCCTTTGGTTTCCCCTTTGGCTCGCTACCTCCAACAGGGTACTCTCAGAATAAGAGAGCTATCAAGTGAGGGGAGCCATCTACAGTGGCTGGCGAACATCAAAGTTGGTTTCGTTGCATGCGGCCAATGTTAAGCTGGGTAGACGAGATGGCACCTGTGCAACAAACGTCTGAATGAGCGGGCTACTGGTGTGTCCGAAATTACAGGCGAAGGCCAGTCGCAAAAGACCCGGCCTTTATCATCCTCAGTGTTGTTTAGGCATCCGTATGAGGCTGTGGGTTTTGGCCGGCCTGTAGGTGGTACCGCCTCACCAGCTTCCGGTCCCCCATGGGGCAAGGAGGGGCTTGGCCGGCAGGGGATTGGCTCATTGCACATCGCATGGTTTACACGTGGGTTCGTGCTTTTCGAGGGCACCCTGATTTGGGTTGGTTGAAAGGGACACCAACACCATTTCGGGATCCACCTATGTTGACACATTACCCACATGCAAGATGTCACATTCACTTGGAGCGGTTTTTTTGCACGCCAATCTGATCTGACTTTTGAGTAGCCACCTGCGATCCCTCCATTTCAGCCAGGTTTGATTGCTTCTTTCGGAGGCTAGGTTTCCTTTGGAGACCGGGCGGGGTTTTGGGGTGCTTCCGTGGTTTGAAGACTCACCAAAGGACCAGAATACCTGGGATGCTGTTTGGGAATGGGCGAGCATGGGTGACAGGAGCCCGGGGCTTTGCCCGGATGGATCTCAACGAGCTGCAGGACGGTGGCTTTGCCCCTGATTTTGGAGCGCGGAAGGTATGAGTCATAGGTCATTGATCCCTCCTGGCTTCTGTAAGCAGCGACCGACAACTGCGCTTTGTGGGAGCACCTCTACAAAACACGGAAGTAGATAGGCCTCCCTTTCCAAGAGGGTAGTCTTTTCTCAAAGCATCTTGCCTGTTTGGCCGTAGGCAGGCCTGTTTTCAGGCAGAGTTGTGGGTTAAGATCCAAGGGGTGCGTAGCCAATCTGCCGGGGCCGCCTGTCCGTGCATTGCGCTGCAGCAGCCCAGCAAACTTGCCAAAAGTCAGGAGAGGTGGCACACCTTCAGGGGGGTGTATCTGGACATTTTGGAGGAAGCAGGCGGGATAGGTGTGGGTACCCGTTTCTGGGGTGGTCTTAAAAGGGACACCAAAGAGGAACCACCATTTGGTGGGTTCCGTATTTCAAGGTAAATACACGTGTACACCTGTCGGTGGGTGGTTCAGGAAAACACAATTGCTAGCCCCACCCAACTGGAAACTTGCCTTCCGGCGTGAAGCCTTCTTCTATGTCATTAAGTGGGCCCGATTGAGGAAATCCCAAAATGAATGGGTGGCTTCCCTTTGCGTTTCCCCTAACCATCCAAGGGAGTCCTCAAACGAAGCCGCCGAGCTCACTGGCCAGGCCGCTGCCGAGCTGCCAATGGGAGACGCTTGGATTCCTTGGAAGAGGCGCGGCTCCCGTGACGGGTTCCGTGAGGATTGCGCGTTTCGATGTCCCAAATCGGTCTCGTGTTTCAGCTGGCTAGTGCGGGCCTGAGACGGACGAATGGCCGATGGTTCATGCGGGATGTTACGCGGAAGCAAAGGACTGGGATGTGGAATCGACAGCAAAGGAAGTAAACAAAAGCTCGAACACAAGCTTCCAACAGTGCAGCATGTTACCATGGGGGTTTGTGCAACTTCAGCCTGCAGACCAGAAGGGATGCTTCTTCCAGCTGCCTTCCATCTGGAAGCCTTCACTTTCACACTAAGACAAGCGCTCTCAAATGAAGCCGCCACCTTATTGAGTCCATACTGTTTTTTTTCTTTCTTCTTTTTTTTTTTCTGGGAGGGACTATAGGCCCCTTTTTGTCTTGAAGGGAAACCAACGGGAACAGTCGAAGCTCAGTTGGGAGGTTGCCCCCCACGTTAACTCAACGGCTCACCGATTTGCAGCCGCCCGTTTTGCCATGGACTCTTTGTCTCAGCTGCCTGGCGCCGCTCTGTGCCGGATTCTGTCCTTCGCCACGGCGGTTGCTTGGCGCGGATGAGAGCGCGGTGAACTGGACACGTCAACCTGTACCTTTTTTTTTCTTCACCTCAGTTGAAAGGGAAACCACAAGGGACACCACCTTTTGGGCCACTGAGCATGGCAACTGGAGAGCCATCAAACCGTTTCATTAGTATTTGGATGAGGCTTCCCTGAATTTTGCACCGCCATATTGATGGGCTTTGCCGTAGCTCTACTCGAGTCACGTGGTGTTGTGGAGCGTGAATGAAGCACCTGTGACATTTCCCAAGTCAGGTTTGATCACGCCAGTTGGCTTTCTGGCAACCTGGAATCTGCACTAGCATTTTCAAGTTTGGCAGCTGAATCCGTCCTCATCCGCCCCCCCCCCCCCCCCCCGTGTGTTTGTTTTTCGGACCCATTGATCTCCATGCAACACCATTTTGGCTCAAGGCCTTTCATGTCACACATCAGATGTACATAGCTCACTGAGCCATTGCATCCGTGATACAGCGGACCACTTTCAGGGTAAACCACAGCACACAGGCAACCAGGGCTAATCCAAGATCAATCCATCAGTATTGACACTTGGACTCTCCGGAATAGATCCAGGGACCAAACAAAGATCCACTACTACCACAAGGTATCGGTTCCCTTAGGGGATAAGATGCCCCAGGCAGTGGGCCTCAATTGTGGTAGCGGAGCAAACAGACACAAATTTCTTTGGATCTCCAGCACTGAATTGCTATTGGCTTCTTGGCCTTGACCGTAGCGATTCAAGTGTGTGCCGTAGCCATAGATGCGGCAGTGACAGATACGATATATATCTTGTCAGCATTAACATACTGTATTCATTCATTCCTTTTTGGCGCGGATGAACTGTCTGTGTTGGCAAATGGAAAAGAAAACTCTGTACTCATTGCGGATACCTAATTGTATCAAAAGATGATGCGCAATGCTATGTACATGCAGGATCGGTGTGAAACTATTGGTCTCTCACAGAATAGTCTTGTTGATGGTGAGGATCAGTTGGTCGGCATTCGTGGTGCTGTTCTCGGTTGTTCTCTCTTTCGAGCTTTTTCTGATTGTACTCCTTGGCTCTCTGAGTGTCTCGTTCCTTGCTTTCAGATCGGCTTCGGATGTAGACCATGAGCGGGCTGTGTGAATCGGCGTCACATGGGCCATTCAGGAACATCTCGCTGGTGATGTGCTTGAAACGCTCGGCTGATGTTACCTGGTAATCAGACATGATTAGCGAGGTCTTGTCCTGCATAGTCTTCTTTTCCTCATCAGTCATGGACTCAATCTCCATTTTGGATATCGGTCTTTCCCCATCCAAATGCAAATGTCATCATGCAATCTCGAAATGTTCGGTCACATCCAAAACCAGTCTTCAAAAAGAGATGGTGACCAACAGCTGCCTTCATAGTGCAGGAGGTAGCCATGGCCTTTCTTCAATAGCATCACCTTGTCGTGTTCCACGTGTCTTGATATGTTTGCGTGATGGGTTTGACCAATCCATATTTCGGATTATAGACTCATTGCAATCTACTGTAAGTGTTGGCGGATCTGTTGGCATCGCCAGTGATTGCGTCGCATTGGTAAGTCGCAACAAGTGGCATGATTCCACGCTGAGAATCCTCTCGTGCTGCTCCACGAGTGATATTCGGATGGATATGGAAAACTCCAACTGTAGCATATGGAAGTCTGGCTCGAAGAATGTGTCGACTATCGTAGTCCGCGTTCGGAGCCTTGGTTGACTTCGGCGATGCTCCTTGGAATTCGTTACTTTGGTCGATCTGGATCACCACAATTTCCTTGTTGCGCCCATATGTCTGGATGGCAGTGCGTGGTGGCAATCTCTGCCCGACATAGTTCTTGAGGTTCTCCTTTGTCATGTGAGATCCGGTCGTTGCCAGGCAGTCGAAGGTTGGCGTGTCATACTCGGGATCAAAACAACCGATCTCGGCGCCGAAGAAACATCTGAACATTCCGAATGTAGTTCCCCAGTTTTGGGATCTTGTCAAGATGTATCTCGCCAAGAGTTCGACTCTGGCGTGCTCATTGCCACGGACAAAACACGCGATCTGTCTTGCAGACCAGGATTTGATCACGAGGCCCTTGTAGCCTGTGAGGATAAACAAACGGATGAGTTCCTTGCATTTTTCGTCAGAAACGCGTCCGCTTCGTTGAGGCATATGTGAGCACTGTTGTGCAGCAACATTCATGTGATCGGTCTGTCTCGTATGGGCATGCCTTTCAACTCTCTGCCGTCCAACTTCGGATTCCTCGTGAGGTTCCCATGGTTCATTGTGAGTATGTTGAGTCATGGAGGAGTAGCAGTCTCGTGCCTGGAACTTGTCCATCACTGGCCCTTCGGTGGCTCGCATGTCCGTATATCTTGATCGCATCGGGATTGTCCTGAGTCCAAGTGAGGTCCTTGTGCATACCTTTGCACGAAGTCCTTGAAGCTTGCCCTTGTGATCTTGAGTTCTTCTTCCGCTTCAGTTTTGCTCATGTCTCGAGGTAGACCTGCTGGAATTCCTTGTTGAACTCGGCGAGATTGTCAGGATTGAGGTTCTCCATCGTGACCCTGTGCTTGACGACATCATCATCGTCCCTGTTAGTGGAATGCCGTCTTTTCTTGGTCTTGGTGGATGTGTTCTTCTGAGATTGGTCCTTGTCTGATTTGTTAGCATTGACATGTTTGAAGAAATCCCGCGCGAAGATCTTAGTCACACTGTGTTCCAGATCTTCTTTGTCCAGGTTCTTCTTCCATGAGAAATTGGTCTGCATTTCCTGTCCTTCGGAATCGAAGGGCGCAATGATGTTTTGTGGCCCGCTAGTATCTGCGGCTATCGCAGTGCGTTCTTCGGTCAGCCTGATTGAGGGAGCCAAGGATCAATAGGGCATCTCGTCCTCCAGGCACATGCGTCAAAGCTGCCTTGGATGGCTCATCGTCGAGGATCACGTCGTCAATGCTTGCAAGATGGACATGGATTTTTCTTTGTGGGGTCGAGCTTTTCCCCGGCCTGATTCCTTGTTCCAGGATGTTGTATATCCGGTCGTTGTAGGTCGCATAGAACATAAAGGTGATTGACTTCTTGTCGAATGGCTTGATCTTTCTCTCCTGTTCCACAGATTCATGCGCCGGTCGTCTCATCCCATACTTCGGCTGCGTTGGGATCTTGAAGGATGGGTACGCTCGTGTGTTGACGATGGGAGATCGTAGTCCGGTTCTTGTTGTTGGTAATCCTTCTGCTCAGTGAATAGTGGTTGCCCAATGGATTCAATTTCAACGGGTCGTGAATGACCACTGCAGAATCTCACATACACTTCCATCTCCTTGTCATTGTAGAATGCTGTTCCATCAGGTCGGAGAGCGTCGTATGCTGCCTGGGATGAGAGGTTGTCGATCCACCGGTTCTTGGGCAAAAGGCGCCTTTCCTTTCTCGTTCCTGACACGTTCCGTCCTAATCTGGAAACACAAATGCGATTTCAAACCGGGATTTCCCATATTTCGGAAACATAGTCATCAAGAAAATGAGGGGCTTGTTGCCCAGCAAACTGATGCCGCACAGTGCCTCGAAGAGCTCGCAGGATCCGTCAGGATTATAGAACTCGGATTTCTCTTTTGAGCCTCTTGGGTGCTTCTCTCCTTTGGACCATGTCGCAGGCATCGGGAGAGCAATTGGCCCAATCTCTCTACTCTCCATGGTCCTTCTCATGTCGAGCCGGAATGATATCGGTTCCGTAATCATCCGGATCGGCATTGGTGTGGCAACAAATGCTGTAGATCTTCTTGATGTAGTCCATGTATGCATGCTCCGTAGACATCGAATCGTGCCACAAGCCAGAAAACCTTGTCTCCCTGTTTTCTCTCATGTTCAGGAACGAAGCTGAAGTTTGGTTCGTAGTCGAGGATGGAGCATTCCTGGTAGTAGCCCTGCGCGTAGTGGTCGTCTGGGCAATGGTGCCAGCTCATCAATGGCGCTCTGAGGCGATGCCTTGATCTTCGGTGTCAATCGAAGCGTTGGTGGATTCATCGTGGGCTGATAGCGTCCTCCGGAGAGTTGCTCTTCTCTTCTTCCTCTGTGTCGGATTCTTGCACCGTAGAATTGGGTTCTCGATCATTGTCGGCCTGCTGAGGAACGCAAGGCCATTCTTGCATTGGCATTGTGTACTGACGCTATGAACTCTGCTGACTGTGCCGTGTGAGCAGGCATCAAGTCCATCCAGGCTGCCTTCAATCTCATCAAGAGAATTTTAAGTTTTGATGCGAGTATGAGGAACTCGGTGTTCTGATCGAAGAAACTGAGAAGTCTGTATAAGCACACGTTCGTCAAGCCCTTCAGAAGAACTTATTCAACGTGTTCTTGAACTAGTTGACTCCTTCTTCAGGATCTTGCAAAAGGTCATTCTGGGGGACTGCCTTGTACATGTGAGCGTCTCCAATGTGTCTGCTCTTGAGGAGTGATCCCTTCTTGGATGCCTCGATGGTGGTGAAGGTCACAAACCAGCTGACTTTTCCGTCGTACCATGGCGGCTGCTTGGCGGTCATCGATAAGTCTAGCGTCTCTTCAGTGAAGCCGGGTGACCGGCCTACACTTGAACAGGCCTCCATGAAGCCTTCTCCATCGGATGACAATTGAGGCCCACTGCCTGGGGTATCTTATCCCTGAAGACAACCAATACCTTGTGGTAGTGGAGGATCTTTATTTGGTCCTGGATTTATTGCAGGCTAATCCAAGATCGATCCATCAGCGTTGACACTGAGATCCAGGACCAAATAAAGATTCTCTACTTCAGCATTGACACTTAGATCCAGGGACCAAATCTACCACAAGGTATCGGTTCCCTTCGATAAGATACCCCAGGCCAGTTCCCATTGCTCTTGCAACCACGAGCCACCAGTTCCCAAAAGCAGCGCGTAGGTGATTCACCCCATGCTCCAAAACTCGAGCTGGGCCAACCGAGGTGGACTGGGCCCGGAGTGCCACGGCCCACCGGCACCTGCGCCTGGATGTGGACTGCCTGCTCGCGGAGAGCGGTTTGGCCGAGACCCGAAGTTTGGGGGAGGCGGCCAGGCGTGGGGACGTCAACGTGGTGCTGGCGCGGCTACGACAAGGCGAGAAACGGATGTGTCGTTTCTCGGGGGTACCCGTTTGTTTCTGGTTTGAAAAGAATCTGAAAGGAGAACCGCCATTTTGCAGGGTCCCCAAAAAAACACACCCAAATGTGCTCATTGCACTCTGCAGATTGGCATGGTGGCCCACAATATCGTCTTGTTTGGGAGGAACTTCCAAGCGGGACTCCCCTGCAGATTAACATGATGCATTCCCCAAACGGCATGTTTTTTGAGGGACACTCCTTTTGGGGGACTCCCCCTTTGGGTCCATGTTGATTGATTGCTGTTGGTCACAGCAGTTGCCTACCTGCCTTGACATGTCCACCATGAGGGATGCTCTTTTGGATGCTTGTTCTGATGGTTTCCTTTGTAAATCTACCCTTGCTACTTTCTTGTTTCTATCCACCAAAATGACGGATGACTTCTCTTTGAGAACTTAGCGGTTCCCTACTTGCAGTCCCAATTTCCGTCGTCAGGAACCTCGCGCGTGGGCTTTTTTCGCGACAGGCCGCCCACTCTTGTGGTCTCTTCAAGGGTTTGGAGCCGTTTCCAAAAATCCCATCGTTTCATTTGGTTTCTTTGGGTTTCCCTGGGAGGACTGGGCGGGTCTCATTTGGCGGGCAGGTGCGGACCCCAACCAGCGGGACTCGCAGCACCCCAAGTACACGCCGCTGCACCGGGCCACCTCCGGTGGGCACCGGGCACTGGTGAGGCTGCTCCTCAAGGCTTCCCACGCAAAAGGGTGGGGCAAAATATGTTGAAACAGCTACACCCTTGTCCGCTTCAAAGGCAAGCAAGCAGGAGGTTTTGTGTTTGTTTGCTAAATTTGATTACAATGGTGGTTTTGCAGTGTTTCACATGTGGGGCCCAACCCTGGTTAACGTGAATCTGCGCAATTGTAACGAGCTCATTTGGGGTAAAACGAGCTCACCCATGATGAAGCTCAACTACTTGGGGATTCCTCGTTTCCGGTTGGTATTCTTTTTGTAATTCACCCACATTGAATGGTTTCGGTTGAATGCCCTTGTAGTGGGAGCATACCAATATCGTAGACATTGTCTGAAAGTGGTGGAGGACAAATGGCGCCCCCAATTTTGACCCTTTTTGGAGAAGGTGAAGGTTTTCCATGCTCCCTCTGACCTGCTGGATTCATTCTTGACCCAACTCGTGTACGATTCCAGTCTCCAAGCGGTAAACTGGTCCAAGCCCAAGATAGTTGGGGGACGACCCAAGTATTGTTCCTGATCAGTGCGAATGGAACGCGCGCGGAGGGGTTGCCTCGACTAAGACGGGCCAGGATCCCACCGCATGTAAGGAAAGAGAGTGCTGCAACCCCCTAGCCCTTCATATAATAATCTGTGTCATTCAAGTAAAGAAGCGTCCCTCTAAGCCCACCCGCCCCGCATTTTCATTAAGCGATTGACACCCCTAGGTGACAAACGTGAATTCAAAGCTCCCGATGTGAGCCAACCGGACTGAGATTAGGAGAAGGCTGACGTGTTGTTGCGGGACCGCCTGGGCTTCAGCGCGCTGCACTTCGCGGCGAATCAGTCGCTGGGCATCGTGGGGGATCTGTTGGAGGCCCGCGCCGACGTGAACGCTGCGAACCTGCAGCAGATGACCCCCCTGCACAGTGCGGCTGGCATGGGCCGAGTGGACCTTTGCCACTTGGACCACTTGAAATGAGACGAAAGGGTGAGTCATTTCACGGGAATGATCGACGGATGCAGCATTTATCATGCTTTCAAGGGGGAAGAGGGTGGAATGAGCCAAAATTGGCTAAACATGCTAAACAAAGGAATCTAGTGCAACATGAGTTTCCCCAGATTGGTCCCGCTTTTCACCAAAGTAGATGGCACAATCTTCTTCTGTGGGTATCTAAAGAGAATGACCATCTACTTCTCACCCAACTGCAACAAGATTGCTCCAAAGGCCATGGCAGAAGGGCCATTGGGGTGTTTGTTCTTGTGAGGGACCGACCCAACTCTGGAGAATCCGATGGAACCGATTGAACACCAGGGAATGGCGCCGCCCCCTCGCTACGCATCAATATCGGGACACCCCCCGGAAAAGAAATGTGGTTTCCCTTGCTGAACCAAGTTGCATTGTTTGGCATATATCTTTCAGGGCCACTCCAAAGAAGATTCTATCTTTCCACTATGGCATCCAGTGGACTTATCATTGCTCAAAACCTACTTCTCGTTCATCACCTTCAGAAGAATTGAGTCTTTCTTTCCCACGTCCGCTCGAGGTGAGTTGCTGCTGCAGGCGGGCGCCCTGGGCTCGGCCGCCGCCGCCGCGAGCCCCGCGGAGCTGGCGAGGCGCGCGGCGCTGCGCCGGCCAGGGGAGAAGCGGGAGGAGCGCCTGGCGCGCGGCCGAACTCTCTGGGCCTGTGCGCCTTTCTGACAGGTTTGGAAATGGCAGGTCCCGAATGCCAGGCTTGTGAGTGAAAACGTTTGATTGGTGGGTTTTCCCGTGGCTGGTTCCCCCTGATGGCTGGTGGGCATGACATAAACCTGCCCTAGAGCAGGTTCACCCCAGATACCTGTCTTCCTTTTTGCATTTTGGAGATGGTCTCAAGAGAAGCCAAATGTGTTCTTCCCCCCCAAACAGCTTCATCTTACCTCCCTCTTTCTAAAGATGGTCCTAAGTAAGGGTCTTTTCACAAAGTAAGGGTTATTGAAATCGGTTTCTGCTCAAATGGCAGGTGGACTGCGTGAAATGCCATGGGCTCTAGAACTTTTGGTCCAAACAAACCCGGACCTGCAAGTCAAACCTTTGTTTTGAGCCAAGCTGGCCAGCTAGTTCTCCAAAGGCTGCCAAAGAAACTTTGCAACACAAAAACACATTTGTTTGCAAAAGGGAACATGCCGAACCTTCATATGGAGGATGCCCAATATATTCTTTGCATAGTTTTCGCGAGTCAAACAAAGACTGGACAGCAACACCACGCCGCGAATTCGCTGGTTTCGTCCTGGCCAGTTTGCTTCCAAGCGAAACCAAGCTTGCGTAAATCGGCGCTGGATCCTGATGCAACAGGAGTTGCTGGGCCTGGCCGAGCAGCTGGCGGAGCTGGGGGAAACCAAGGCGTACAGTTCAACAAACCGACCCAAAAGGCCCTTCAACCGAAGGACTCCGGAGGTTCTCCACGGTTTTTTTGGCCAACATTCGGGAACCCAAAGGGAGGTTTCAAGGTTGCAGTTCGCATTTTTGATGCAGGCTGCGTGCTGGCTCTACGAGAGCGAGCCACTGTCCGAGCAGCCCAGAGACGCGCAGTGGCTTCCCTTCCAGGCTGAATCCTCTGAGAGGCTGGAGGCTGCCTATACCAAAGGTGAAGAGGAGGTGCAAATTGGAACCTCCAGAAACATGGCTGACTATTGGCCTTCATTTCCATTTTGAAACGCTCCTTTTCCAGTTTTCGTTTAAACCAATTTACACCTCTGCCATGTTGGCTCGTGGAAACGTAGTGCTTGCCTCGCAGCTTAGGAAGCACCTACCTGGTGAATCTGCGCGAGGGTGTCCAGACCAACCTGGTCACCGGCTGCTGTCGCCGGGTGCGCCGCGAGCGGGAGGTGAAGGCCTGGGTGCCGGCGGCGCCGAACCATTGGCCCGGGCTGGTCTCCACCGGGGCGAACCGACCGCCGCTGTGAGCGAAAAGGAAAGCGGGCATGGGGGTGGATAGGGGGGCCTGGGGTGAAGGGAGTAGAGGGAGTAAGGGGTGGATGGGCGGAAAGGGGCCATTGAGTCATGGCATATGGTTTCTGCCGGCAGGCTTCAGGGGTTGCCATGTGGCTGGGGCGGATGGAGTTTGGAGTTGTCAAGCTGCGTGGCATGTAGGTGACATGAGGCATGACGCATGCAGGGGTTGCAGCCTGAAGACAACGGGAGGAATACTATGGCAAGAGGAGGGTTTGAATTTGAATCCCAAGCCCAACTTCTGCAACGTGCTATACTGTGCTACTGCTAATCCCAGGAGTCTCGCATTCAGGGGTATCATTCATTCCGTCCACGAACCTAGACCCCCCCCCCCCCGGCACAGTCCTTTTTGAGGAACATGGTCTTCCCGCCGTGCCACAGGCTGCCAGACCCCTCCGCGAAAGGCGCATGGAGCGCTGGAATCGGTGCCGTGCTCATGTAGCAGCTCTCTTGTCGAAAGTGAAGTCTCAAATTGAAGGTGCTTCTGTTTTTTCCTTAGCCCTTGACTTGTGAAACCTGCCATACTTGCGGGTTTCCTGGGAGACCAGCATGAGAGACTTGCACGTGAGCCGTGAATGTAGGGCAGTTGAGGTCGAAGCGCGACGCGAGCAATGGTGCAAACATGTCAAAGCAATGCAGGCAGGCCAAAAGGGCAACTGCCATGAGCTAAGCTTGAGGCTGGCAATGTCACAAGAAGACCAGCCTCGTCACAGAAGCAAGAAAGACGTGCCGAGCTTAGTTCCAACTCGAACAACTCTAAGCCATGCCACGTAAAGTTAGTTCGTATGGTTCGACCAGAAGAAGTGGGGAACTGACGACTGCCACAGAAATTGCATTCTTTGATTGGAAGGGGGCCATTGTGGATTGCCTGGATTGTCTTCGCTGTTGATGGGCATTTCCGCGGCCGAGGCCCAATCCTTTGAGAGGGCGCAGCGCGCCAGTGCGCGTGGAGCGCGCCATGTAGGGCTCTTGGTCAAACCGCGAGGTGTCCTCCGTATGTTCTTCGACATGCAGATTTTGCAAATTCCCTGTGAAGAACCCCCAGTGCCAAGTTTGGGAGAGGCCTTTGGGCTGTGGCAGGCTTTTTGGGAAGCCAACATGTCAGTGTGCGTTTTTGTGGAGTTGGTACTCTTCTGAGCCAACCAATCCGGCCGCGCACGCCTAGGCGCAGCATGGCTGCGGAAGTGTGGCTTCTGGCGGAGGCATCAGAATGGGCAGCTTACCCAAAACACATGATAGATCCGGGACTTGAATGAAGGGGTCCATTCAACAAAAAAGCAGAGCAACGGCCTCAACGACAACGGCAACGTCAACATATCGTCTTGGGAGCTAAAGAAGGGTCTTTCCGCCGGAGGCAAGCGGAGCACTGCAAAGCCGCGCGGAGCCAATGCCTCCAAGGCAGGGCTTGGCAGGGCTCGCCAGCCATGTCTCTGCAGGCTCAAATGACCGTTTTGGGTTTCTTTCTTTTGCGTTTCGGTTTCCTTCATGTTTCCCTTTTTACTAAGCGACGAGCCTTGTCCCGCGAAGCAAGCAGACAGGTTTGGCAGAGCTCCAAGTCTGGCTAGAACATTTGCAAACGATTCTCATCCCAGGAAAAGTGCCCAAACCCCAGAGATGCCGAGCCTTTTGAATGAATGAACGTCAAAGGCAAGCCACCGATTTTGAGAATTCAATAACCTGACAGTTTCCCGTTTCTGTTAGCAGATTTGTGGAAGGGGAAATGGCATGAGGGAGGAAGCGTCACTTGTAAGTACACCCCTGCAGATTAATGTGGAAGCCTCAACAGAAATGGACTACATTTTTAGAGGAATCTCCGATGGGTTTTGGCTTGCAGAGTAATTTGAGGTTCTGCGAGCACTTTTGCTAGCCGGAGGCTTCGCAAGTGGTCCACGCCCGTCTGCTTCGGCTTCTTGCGCGGGCGTGGCGTGATTGCCTGCAGAAGATGCGGGAGGGTTCCATTTGTTGGTTACACCAAGAAAGACTTGAACCCAGGCAGGGTGCCTTAAAGGCTACAACTTGGGCCATTAAAAACATAACCTCAAAAAGAAACCACCACTTTGGGATTCAGATGGATGATGCGGAGTGGTGTGTGTATTCATTCTAATAAGCTGAAGTCCTCGTGAGAGTAACCAAGCGGAGTGTGTCCATGTCGCACCGATCTAGTTCAGGGTGAGGCTCGTGATGCTCCGTTTTGAAAAGTCATGCTTCAAGTGCACATGTGCAGGCAGAGTGGGATGGGGGAGCGGCTCGCCAGGCGTTGGGATCGTGTCCATCACAAGACTTTGAGTGCGGAGGCAGCACAAAAGAAGGCTGCGGCACTGAGTTGGTAACAAAGCAGAGGCCTAGCTGGATCATTTTGCTAAGCATTCCGTTTGTCATCCGCTGATACTGAAGCAGTATGTGAAGGGAAGTATGAAAAAATCCACACTCACAAGCATGTTTTTGCTGCCTGCTCATGTTTGTAGAAGCATTCTCCTGGCCAGGGCCAGATGCCCTGGTAGAGTCACTGAACTACAGGGCTCTGCCCTAGGCTATGAAGGCTATATAGCGGCAGTCTGCCAGGCTGCAGCTAAAGAGGCAGAGTGGCAAAGCCAGAAGGAGGCATGGCTTGGGCTACAGCCGGCTTCACTGGCAAGAAGGGCGCGCTTTGCTCCACTTCTCATGTTCTGCAAGGTTCACTCCGCGCATTTCCGCCCAGTTCTTGTTTGCCTTGCCTTCCTCCCACCGACATGAAACACGACAGAGTGTCTCCTTCAAAGGAACAGGCAGCCCACCCGCCCGTCCACCCGCTCGCCCGGGAAACAACTCCTAGCCAACCCTGAGCCAGCCCTAAGCAACCCCTAAACCACTCTGAACCAACTCTACACCAACCCCAAGCCCAAACGAGAGGAATCCCTGTGGTGTCCAAATGCCGTATTTCCCAGCAGTTTGCACACAGCATCATTGTCTAGCACACGATCGCATGCTTACGGGTCTAGGTGAGGGCGGGTTGCAGGTGGGCTTGCAGGCGGATGTAGGGTGGGTGTCCATCGAAGATAGTGATATTTTGGATGCCATTGTACTGCACGCCATGTGAATTGCAAAACGCCTCAAACATCATTGGTTGGTGGTTGCATACATCTATTTTATGATGTCCAGCAGAGGGGTGCCAATCAAAATCCATACGCCAATGATTTGAGTGAAGGTCGGTTAGAAAAAGGGACAAGGTCATATCGTCTTGTTGCCCTCCCTCCCACAAACATTGCACCTGACTGGGTGTGAGAAACGTGACTTTCCAGGGTGTTTTCCGTGGGAGGAAGTTTACAAGATCGTTTCCCTTGAACCCAACCGAAGGACCCTCAAAAAGCGCACCACATGGGGCCCTTGAATTCTTTCCACTCGGGATTCGAGGCGCAGGCAACAAGGCAGGCCTGCCGCAAGCAAGCTGCCGAAGAAGCCCGGCGCCGGCCTCGGATTTTGGGTATGGACACCTGGGGTTCATTTTGCAACCGCGGTCTCATGTACTGTCTTCGTGAGGGCGTGCAACGTCTCCATGCCACAGGGGGGGCTATGTTTTGTTCAAGCGTGACTGTTTGCGTCAGTGTTGGGTTGTTTCTGGAACAGTCCTTTTTTTTCAAGGTTCCAGGATGAGGATCAACGGAACAGTGTTTTCCTTGCTGATAGTCTCCATGTCATTGGATCATCAACTGTTCTCCTCAAGTTCTGTTTTTCCAGATCAGCATGACTGCTTTCCGTGTTGTTTTCGGAACAAACAGGCATATGCATTGATCCTTGGAGCAGCAAAAAAACATACAGCAACGTGGGGTGATTCAGGTGTGCGGCTGGTTGCCTGTTTCAAAGAGTTTTTGGGCCTGCCGGAGCGTCAACGGTGCGTCCAAGAGCAAACACAACATGACTACAATGGATCTATTCAAGTTGCCTAGTTCACCTGGTTCAGAAGGGAGCCAAACAGTTGGACTCCTAAGTTAAGGATCCAAGGGAACTGTGAAGTCCAGCATTTGGCGGTGTGAGGTCCCCCACAGGATCCATGGACGTGGTCCGAGGCTGGAGCGCGCAGCTCGTGCAGCAGCGCGGCTTGAGCGCGAGCAGCAGAAGCAGCACTGGCGCTGGCTGAGCCGCAAGGATGGGAAACCCGATGCCAACGAAGGTTGTCCATGAATAATCAATGGGTCCCCTGCGATTAAAGGGAAGCTAAAAGGAGGTTGTTTAAACAATGGTTGAAACATGTTTGCACAAGGGCTTGGCTCAAGGAGGCGCAGGGATTCGACTGTCTGGCTTCCCATTTCTTCTTTTTCGGACAAGACCAGAAGTTGGGAGGCTGAAGGAACCCCGATTTGGGGACTGGCCGGAAACTCGTTGAAGCCGCTTTGGTTTGCGCGTTTGGAGGACAACAGCTCTTGCATTTCAGAGTCTTCCAAGTGATCTTGACGTCTAGTTTCTCCTGGACTGTCCTCGATCGAAGCCTAGCCTAAAATGAAACAGGGGAAAATAGGGAACCAGGCATCCTTTGTACTTCGCCACAGTTTGCGGTTGATTTGATTGCTGTTTTTTTCTTGGCCTGGCAGATGAGTGCTGTGCGTGGCTCTGCTCCAAGAAATCAGGCCAACAACTCCACAGGTTGGCGTCCAAAACACCTCACGCCGGAATCACTGCAGCGAATCTGTAGTATGCACTACTAGTATGCACTGTAAGATATACACCTGCCTGAAGATTGACTTATGTGCGGCGTCCGCAACTCGGTATCCCAGGGACAAAGGCATCAAGCATCTACATTCCTGCATGGGTGGGTTTCCGGTCCTCCCAGCATCCCTCATCTCCAGGATATCACCATGGAAGAGTTGCTGCACAGAAGAATCTGCACCCGCACCGGCCACTGCCTCGGCTGATGCAGAACGTTATGGAATGTATACTCTCTTGAAATAGGAATTCAGGGGTATTCTCTGAAAAGACATCGTTCATTGCAGGAATGGCCGCCCACAAATTGGTATATTGATGAACCCTGATAATTTGTCATGGAATTCATCACAATTGGGCCACCTTTCTTACCTTCTGAGGCACCTTGCTTTGATGCAGAGCCCAGGTTGCAATGCTCAGGCTGAGCGTGATACCATGCATGGCTTTGTGCGCCCCCAGCGAGCCTGAGTCGGAGTTTGGTCCGTGGAACCGGGCCCATGCCGCATGGCTCACGGCTTCGCGCTTTTGAAGCCCTCGTGGCGCACATAGCAAGGCGCCGGCGCGGCACGGCTGAAATGACAGGCGAAAGTTAGAAAGATCTGCGGCGCTTGAGCTTTTGCCTTGAGAATTGGTGCAGTTGCAGTGCCGCCTCGCAGCTTCTCATGAGTTCGCGGCAGATGTGAGTAGAATTGGAGCAAATGGGCTCAGTCAGCCGGGAGTCCACTTCGGTCCCTAAATGAGCTCCCGTCTTTGCCAGGCACAATGAAATTGTAGTGTACCAGGATTTGACATTCAGGCGTACAAACAGTGCTCGGTTCCCAGGCCCCTAATACGACTGCAACTCGGGTTGGTCCAGTACTGGTTTGGTATTGGCCTACATGTAGTCTTGTTTGGGTGTGTGTGAGATGTGGGAAAATACTGATGATGATGACTATTATGGTTATTATTGTTTTTAAGAGGGTTCATTTATTGATGGGGGGGGGCAGAGATTAGCTGTCAATCGTTTGTTTCAGATTCACTGTGCATGAAGAATCAGGAAGACCAATCGTCCAGTCCCCAAGTGGTTGGTATTGAGTCCAGAAGAAACTCCATCAGTGCTGTCCAGAAAGCATCAACCTGCCAGCTGGCCATTGCTTGCAGCATCTTCGTGAGGATGGCCGCCATCTCGCCTGTCGCCCCATGCAAGCCATGGCCACGAGCAGTGCCCAGGGTGGTCACGCATGCCCCGCTTGCGCAAAGCGCTAAAACCGCACGCGGCACATCGGCTGCATCTGGTGGGCACCGGGCAGCCCTGGCGCTCGCGGGTGCCGAGTGCGCTGGGCGCGCTCGGCGCGCGGGCCGCGCACGGCGCTCCTTGCGGAGGGCTGACGAGGGGAAGGCGAGGGACCTGTGGCGGCAGGCCTTTGATGTCGAGGTGGAGAGGGCGGAGCGCTTGGGAGGAGACTCCGTTCCAGCGCCGGGGGACGATGCACCTGTAGCAGAGTGGCAAGCAGCCTATGAAGCGTTAAAGGCGGCTGGTTCCACCAAGCAAGCACGCTGACATGTTGCATTGGGCTTTTGCACTGCTGTCGAATGGCATTTTGCCGCCTTTGCCTGGAGCTCTTGAGAGTGTTGGAGCGTTCTTGAGGCGGCAAATCTGGAGCTCGAGCTCGAAGCAGTTGCTCGTCGACGGGCGGAGATGGAGAAGGAGAAAGCCGAAGCCAAAGATGCCTCAGCGCCTTCTCCAAGTCCCTTGCCACCCAAAGAGGCTGCTGAGTCGCATGAGGTGATGTTGGGTACTAAGTCGTTTGCAGGGCCCAAAACTTAGGCGCCGAAAGTCGAAGCTGAACTTGGTCAAAGAGATGACGAATCTCCCAAGGTCACCTGTCGGCAGGGCAGGGGGGGGTGTCTTCAAGACATATCGGGGCAAAGAAACAGCACCATCGTATGGGGGTGTCCTAAAGGCTGGGCGACTCTTCATGCAATGGGTCTACCCTTAATTTCCTTTGAACATGAACCAACGGGGTTCATGGGGCAACCACATTTATTAAACGCCCATGTGAGACTCCCCTTGATTGCATTAGTGGCCTTTGATTTGGTAGGGGTTCTTTGCGAATGGCCGACCGCAACCATCGTGCCGTTTGTGAGGTGCTTAGCGTTCTGGACCTGGCCACGAGTCTCGGCGGGCGAGCTTTCTGGCATAGGGTTCAAAGACTTGGTGACTTGGGGCAGTGATTCTGCAACAAAGGCCGTTTCGCACCAGCTTGTAGATGGTTTGTCCCAGTATTTGTAGGATTTCATCCATTCCAACTGGCTTAGAATGTGATGGTCATCCACTTGAAATGGCGCAATCATCAGTTAGGATGGCTATTGAGACTTGCAAAGGAAGCCAAGGCCAAGGAGTTGATTCTGGCACAAATTGGAAGGCCTAAGCAACGCTTGCCTTTGGATTATCCCCTACCCTATTCTCTGGCTTCATAGGAACAGACGAAACATGAGCATGACCTTCTGGCAAGTGCGGGGCCGTTTTGATGCGCATTGGGTGTAAGCAGCGCCCCTCCCAAACCGAAACGAACCATTTTGGGCTCCATGGCCTCGTTTTGAGACACGCGGCTCCGGGGGGAACCAGCCGTTTGGGGGACGCCTCAACTGGCGTGGCTCAAGGATGGACGTGGGCTCGGAGCAGCTGGCAGACGCCGCGCGGCTCCGGGACGCCCTGGGCCCTGGCACCTTGCCGCTTCTGGCGGCACTCTTCCAGGCGCCGTGGAGAGTTTCAACGGGACACCTCGATGATGTTGAAACAACATTCATGAGCCGGTACTACCTGCTCACCAGCGAGTATGTTCCTCTTGTTTGTATGATGATACATGGCGCTTATTTGATGCTATTGGGCATTCTTTATCGCATTCATTGGTTTCAACATGTAACAAGTGAGTGGCCCAACCCAGAGTTCTGGAGCATAGGGATTCCATAGCAAAGCCTTTGTAAGGTGTTGCTGCCGTGAAAGACCGCAGCTGAGGTTTGGTAGCACCCCTTCTGGAAGGTATAAGTTTATTGGGGCCTTGTTGCACCTCAGACAGGCATTCAGGCTTTCATCATTGATGTTTTTGTTGGTATCTCCCATGATAGGGGGGCCAACAGACAGGTGAAAGGCTCAAGGACACTCGAATCTTCCAAGATGGCGCTTCTAACTACAGCAGTTTCTTGTTGCATCCCCAAATTCCGTGGCAGGCGTCACCTGCAAAGCTGCCAGTCTCTTCTCTCGCCCCTCCTTTTGCGCGAGGCCGGGGGAGCCGCGGCGGCGGAGGTGCGGGATGCCCTGGACTTGCCGGGCAGCGGGTTCACGGTGACCAGCAGCGCCGTGGCAGCACTCGGCGCGAAGAGCTTCTTCGCGGTTGGGGCTGTTGCCTGCCAAGTTGCCCGGCTGGCGCTGGTTTCTGGAAGATCAGAGCTGGCAATATTTGGGGTTGTTTGAAG